CAGTAGATGGGCATACCGATAAACTTGCGCCACCCCACGGCCCTTACACGTCAGTTAGCAAGGATTGTGACGGTGAGTATGCGTGCGATGCTGTCACACAATTGTGTGTGTGTAGAGGAGACACCCCTCTCTGTCTGACCGTGTGACACTGTGCCGTCTAAGAGGCCTGCAGAGATACAGCCAGCGCTCAGCTCTTATCTTTCTCTACTGCTGATAACAGCTCCCTCTGTATTTTCTCTTATCTTACTCCTCCCTCTCTCTCTCGCTCCCTCTCTCCTCTGTCGTCTTTAACCCTGCTTGCTCTGGGTGCTCCCTCTGTCACACATGCACTGCCACCTCTCCTCTCTTCTCTACACCTTGCCCCTCCCCTCTCTCTCTTTTCTTCTCAATTCAATTTTAATTTAAGGGCTTTGTTGGCATGGGAAACATATGCTAACATTGCCAATAAAATAAACAAAAGTGAAATAAACAATAAAAATTTACAGTAAACATTACACTCACAACATTACTCTCTCTCTCTCTCTCTGTAGATAATGAGTTTCTCTCTCGCTCTCTCTCTCTGTAGATAGTAATGAGTGTCTCTCTCTGTCTTTGTACAGTGCCTTGCAAAAGTATTCATCCCCCTTGGCATTTTTCCTATTTTGTTGCATTACAACCTGTAATTTAAATTGATTTTTATTCAGATTTCATGTAATGGACAAACACAAAATAGTCCAAATTGGTGAAGTGAAATGGAAAAAATAACTTGTTTCAAAAAATTCTAAAAAATAAATAATGGAAAAGTGGTGCGTGCATATGTATTCACCCCCTTTGCTATGAAGCCCCTAAATAAGATCTGGTGCAACCAATTACCTTCAGAAGTCACATAATTAGTTAAATAAAGTCAACCTGTGTGCAATCTAAGTGTCACATGATCTGTCACATGATCTTAGTGTATATACACCTGTTCTGAAAGGCCCCAGAGTCTGCAACACCACTAAGCAAGGGGCACCACCAAGCAACCGGCACCATGAAGACCAAGGAGCTCTCCAAACAGGTCAGGGACAAAGTTGTGGATAAGTACAGATCAGGGTTGAGTTATAAAAAAAGATCTGAAACTTTGAACATCCCACGGAGCACCATTAAATCCATAATAAAAAAATTGAAAGAATATTGCATCACAACAAACCTGCCAAGAGAGGGCCGCCCACCAAAACTCACGGACCAGGCAAGGAGGGCATTAATCAGAAAGGCAACAAAGAGACCAAAGATAACCCTGAAGGAGCTGCAAAGCTCCACAGCGGAGATTGGAGGATCTGTCCATAGGACCACTTTAAGCCGTACACTCCACAGAGCTGGGCTTTATGGACGAGTGGCCAGAAAAAAGCCATTGCTTAAAGAAAAAAATAAGCAAACATGTTCGCCAAAAGGCATGTGGGAGACACCCCAAACATATGGAAGAAGGTACTCTGGTCAGATGAGACTAAAATTGAGCTTTTTGGCCATCAAGGAAAACGCTATGTCTGGCGCAAACCCAACACCTCTCATCACCCCGAGAACACCATCCCCAAAGTGAAGCATGGTGGTGGCAGCCTAATGCTGTGTGGATGTTTTTCATCGGCAGGGACTGGGAAACTGGTCAGAATTGAAGGAATGATGGATGGCGCTAAATACAGGGAAATTCTTGAGGGAAACCTGTTTCAGTCTTTCAGAGATTTGAGACTGGGACGGAGGTTCAGCTTCCATCAGGACAATGACCCTAAGCATACTGCTAAAGCAACACTCGAGAAGTTTAAGGGGAAACATTGAAATGTCTTGGAATGGCCTAGTCAAAGCCCAGACCTCAATCCAATTGAGAATCTGTGGTATGACTTAAAGATTGCTGTACACCAGCGGAACCCATCCAACTTGAAGGAGCTGGAGCAGTTTTGCCTTGAAGAATGGGCAAAAATCCCAGTGGCTAGATGTGCCAAGCTTATAGAGACATGCAGTGAGGGGGAAAAAGTATTTGATCCCCTGCTGATTTTGTACGTTTGCCCACTGACAAAGACATGATCAGTCTATAATTTTTATGGTAGGTTTATTTTAACAGTGAGAGACAGAATGACAACAAAAAATCCAGAAAAACGCATGTCAAAAATGTTATAAATTGATTTGCATTTTAATGAGGGAAGTAAGTATTTGACCCCTCTGCAAAACATGACTTGGTACTTGGTGGCAAAACCCTTGTTGGCAATCACAGAGGTCAGACGTTTCTTGTAGTTTGCCACCAGGTTTGCACACATCTCAGGAGGGATTTTGTCCCACTTCTCTTTGCAGATCTTCTCCAAGTCATTAAGGTTTCGAGGCTGACGTTTGGCAACTCGAACCTTCAGCGCCCTCCACAGATTTTGTATGGGATTAAGGTCTGGAGACTGGCTAGGCCACTCCAGGACCTTAATGTGCTTCTTCTTGAGCCACTCCTTTGTTGCGTTGGCCGTGTGTTTTGGGTCATTGTCATGCTGGAATATCCATCCACGACCCATTTTCAATGCTCTGGCTGAAGGAAGGAGGTTCTCCATTTTGGTCTCATCTGACCACAACACTTTCACCCAGTTCTCCTCTGATTCATTCAGATGTTCATTGGCAAACTTCAGACAGGCCTGTATATGTGCTTTCTTGAGCAGGGGGACCTTGCGGGCGCTGCAGGATTTCAGTCCTTCACGGCGTAGTGTGTTACCAATTGTTTTCTTGGTGACTATGGTCCCAGCTGCCTTGAGATCATTGACGAGATCCTCCCGTGTAGTTCTGGGCTGATTCCTCACTGTTCTCATGATCATAGCAACTCCACGAGGTGAGATCTTGCATGGAGCCCCAGGCCGAGGGAGATTGACAGTTCTTTTGTGTTTCTTCCATTTGCGAATAATCTCACCAACTGTTGTCACCTTCTCACCAAGCTGCTTGGCGATGGTCTTGTAGCCCATTCCAGCCTTGTGTAGGTCTACAATATTGTCTCTGACATCCTTGGAGAGCTCTTTGGTCTTGGCTATGGTGGAGAGTTTGGAATCTGATTGATTGATTGCTTCTGTGGACAGGTGTCTTTTATACAGGTAACAAACTGAGATTAGGAGCACTCCCTTTAAGAGTGTGGTCCTAATCTCAGCTCGTTACCTGTATAAAAGAAACCTGGGAGCCAGAAATCTTTCTGATTGAGAGGGGGTCAAATACTTATTTCCCTCATTAAAATGCAAATCAATTTATAACATTTTTGACATGCGTTTTTCTGTATTTTTTTGTTTGTTATTCTGTCTCTCACTGTTCAAATAAACCTACCATTAAAATTATAGACTGATCATTTCTTTGTCAGTGGGCAAACGTACAAAATCAGCAGGGGATCAAATACTTTTTCCCCTCACTGTACCCCAAGAGACTTGCAGCTGTAATTGCTGCAAAAGGTGGCTCTACAAAGTATTGACTTTGGGGGGGGTGAATAGTTATGCACGCTCAAGTTTCCTTTTCTTTTTGGTCTTATTTATTGTTTGTTTCACAAAAAAAATTATTTTGCATCTTCAAAGTGGTAAGCATGTTGTGTAAATCAAGTGAAACAAACCCCCACCAAAATTCATTTTAATTCCAGGTTGTAAGGCAACAAAATAGGAAAAATGCCAAGGGGGGTGAATACTTTCGCAAGCCACTGTATATCGTAACGCGTCTCTCTCTCTCCCTCTGTTTTTCTCTCTCTCTCTCTGTCTCTGTGTAGATAGTAATGAGTTTCTCTCTCTCTCAATTCAATTTCAATTTAAGGGCTTTATTGGCATGGGAAACATATGATTACATTGCCAAAGCAAGTGAAATAGATAAACAAAAGTGAAATAGAAAATTAACAGTAAACAATGTCATTATGTCTATATACAGTGTTATAATGATGTGCAAATAGTTAAAGTACAAAAAGGAAAATAAATAAACATAAATATAGGTTGTATTTACAATGGAGTTCTAGTTTGCTCTGTTTTTTTGTTAATTCTTTCCAATGTGTCAAGTAATTATCTTTTTGTCTTCTCATGATTTGGTTGGGTCTAATTGTGTTGCTGCCCTGGGGCTCTGTGGGGTCTGTTTGTGTTTGTGAACAGAGCCCCAGGACCAGCTTACTTAGGCGACTCTTCTCCAGGTTCATCTCTCTGTAGGTGATGGCTTTGTTATGGAAGGTTTGGGAATCGCTTCCTTTTAGGTGGTTGTAGAATTTAACAGCGCTTTTCTGGATTTTGATAATTAGCGGGTATCGGCCTAATTCTGCTCTGCATGCATTATTTAGTGTTTTGCGTTGTACACTGAGGATATTTTTTTGCAGAGTTCTGCATGCAGAGTCTCAATTTGGTGTTTGTCCCATTTTGTGAATTCTTGGTTGGTGAGTGGACCCCAACCTCACAACCATAAAGGGCAATGGGTTCTATAACTGATTCAAGTATTTTTAGCCAGATCCTAGTTGGTATGTCAAATGTTATGTTCCTTTTGATGGCATAGAAGGCCCTTCTTGCCTTATCTCAGATCGTTCACAGCTTTGTGGTAGTTACCTGTGGTGCCGATGTTTAGGCCGAGGTATGTATCGTTTTTTTGTGTGCTCTAGGGCAACGGTGTCTAGATGGAATTTGTATTTGTGGTCCTGGCAACTGGACCTTTTTTGGAACACCATTATTTTTGTCTTACTGAGATGTACTGTCAGGGCCCAGGTCTGACAGAATCTGTGCAGAAGATCTAGGTGCTGCTGTAGGCCCTCCTTGGTTGGGGACAGAAGCACCAGATCATCAGCAAACAGTAGACATTTGATTTCAGATTCTAGTAGGGTGAGGCCGGATGCTGCAGACTGTTCTAGTGCCCTCGCCAACTCGTTGATATACATGTTGAAGAGGGTGGGGCTTAAGCTGCATCCCTTCTCTCTCTCACTTTACTCACTCCCCTCCCCTCTCCCCCCTCCCCCTCCCTCCAGGTTCATGCCGGAGCCCAACCTGCCTCCTCTGATGGTGTACGAGTCGTGCTCTACAGCCCCCCCTGGTGTTGCCCCCAGCCAGGTGGTGGTTCTGGATGAGGTGAGGGAGAGGCTGCCGGAGCTGCCCAGCGTCAGGAGGCAGAGGCTGGTGGAGACCTACGGCATCCTCCCCGAACACAGCTTCACTCTGGTGGTGAGTGACCACTACAGTATGTAGGTGTGTCTGTTAATGTACAACTGAGCAAGTGAATTATAGTAATGGTAGGTAGGTTTCTCTCTCCATCTCTCTTTCTTATTCTGTCTTCCTGTCTGTCTCTCTCCCTCCCACTTTCTGGCACTCGTTTCTGCTCCCCTTCTCTCACCCTCTTCCTTTATCTCTCCATTTTACTCTCCCTCACAAACCCTCACTGTCTCTCAATGTAATAACTACCCAAAGTAACCTATTCTTGCTTAGCCAGTTACCCTGTCTGCACTTCTGCCTCTGTCCAGCAGGGCGCAGTAGACAGTGGTGTGTGTGCATATACAGTATTATTGAGTGTGTTCCATTGGGTCTCCTGTTGTAGAATGAGGACGGGCTGATGGACTACTTTGAGGCCGTCGCCAGGGAGACCAAGGCTGGGCCAAGAAAGGTGATTGGCTGGGTGATGAACGAGCTGCAGGGCCTCCTCCATCAACAGAACCTGAGTGTCAGCCAGAGGTGAGAAACACTCTTTGTTGTCGTCCTCTTCCTCTGTGTCCTACTCTAGCCTCATTCAATCTCTTTCTCCTCTCCTCCACCTCACCCCTATCATTTCTTCCTCTACATCCTTCATCTTGTTTGACCATCTTCTTCCTCCTCCCCCTTTCCTCCTATCACGTTTTCTGTCCTCCACTTCCTCCTCCTTCTCCTTTTTGTCCTACTCTTTCAGTCTTGCGTTGACTTCAAACCCCATGTTGTAGATCTTATCTCAGGATCCACTATCTTGGCTAGATTGAGGCCTGAAATCACTTACAGACTGGAAGCATCATTTATGTGTTTCTTTCCCCGATAAGTTTCCTATCTATCTTCATGTTGGTACCTTCTGTTATTACTATGGCAGTCGGTAAATGTGAATAGAGAATATATCTGGGGAATAAGCTGAAAGTGTTTTGAGTTTACTGTTTTTATCCTACACTCCACTGTTCTAAGACTGTGAACAAACAGAGTAAAGTATGGGTTTGTTTTATGTCTTTATCTGAGAACTAGTGGATGGGTTGGTGTTTGTGTGCCTTTGTCATTAGAACCACTCTCACTTTTTTCAAATGACTATGTGTGGATTCATGTGTTTTGTTTGTTTCGCCACATTTCCATTCATAACTTAGTCAGTGTGTGACTGTGTGTCTCTGGTGCGATGCTCTGCTGTGTGTCTGACTCAGTGAATGGAGACAGCACTGATGATCATGTACCCTCTAGGTGGTACTGGGCTGTCACAGAGAGGGACAGGGCTAAATAGCCTCTCATTATAAGCACAGTGACTCCGGGGTAGATAGACACCGTCACACTGTCACACAGGAGAGGATAGACTGGGCCTAATGACATCTCCTGTGCTTTATCTCTCTCTTCTCTCTCTCTCCCCGATCTCTCTCATATCTGTCTCTCCCGCTCTCAGTCCGATCTCTCCTCAAGCTCTAGCCCAGCTACTGAATCTCCAGGAGAATGGACACATCTCTTCTTCTGTCGCCAAGCAGGTGAGAGAGAAGACAATGGCATAACATCCAAAACATTTAATGCAAAGTCCATATGTGTTACAACACTGAGTGTACAAAACATTATGAACACCTGCTCTTTCCATGACATAGACTGACCAGGTGAAAGCTATGATCCTTTATTGATGTCACTTGTTAAATCCAATTCAATCAGTGTAGATGAAGGGGAGGAGACAGGTTAAAGAAGGATTTCAGAGGGTGAATGGGCAAGACAACCGATTTTAAATGCCGTTAAACGGGGTATGGTAGTAGGTGCCAGGCGCACCGGTTTGTGTCAAGATCTGCAAAGCTGCTAGGTTTTTCACACTCAACAGTTTCCCATGTGTATCAAGAATGATCCACCACCCAAAAGACATCCAGCCAACTTGGCACAACTGTGGGAAGCATTGGAGTCAACATGGGCCAGCATCCCTATGGAACTCTTTCGACACCTTGTAGAGTCCATGCCCGACGAATTGTGGCTGTTGCGCAACTCAATATTAGGAAGGTGTCCTTAATGTTTTGTTTACTCAGTGTATATGTATACTTTTTGATTGGGGTTTAACCTGAGTGTTTCGTTGCTCCATACAGGTGTTCCAGGAGCTGTGGAAGACCCCAGGTAAAACGGCCCAGCAGATCGTCAAGGAGCAGGACCTGGGGATGGTCAACGACAGCACAGAGATCCACAGGATTTGCCAGAAGGTGGTAGACTCACACCCAGACCAGGTGAGACCTCCCTGGGCAAGAGCTGCCACAATGACCCCCCCCCCCCCCCCCCCCCCCCCTCCGCAGCACATAGTAAAAACACAATGAACACAACAATAAATATTCACAACACAATATATACAGCAATATGTAGACAGGAAGTAGTAGACCTCTAAAGCAGTCATGAATAGAGTCGTTCCATACCTTACAGTACTACAACTTATTGAGAAAGCTGATAGCTGCTATGAGGGAAGCAACAGAAATTAATCTAATGGGATGCTGGGGGTCCTTCCGAATCAAATTCTATTGGTCACATACACATATTTAGCAGATGGTATTGTGGGTGTAGCAAAATGCTGGTGTTCCTAGCTCCAACAGTGCAGTAGTATCTAACAATTCACAACAATACACACATCTAAAAGGTAAAGAATGGAATTAAGAAATATATAAATATTAGGACGAGCGATGTCGGAGTGGCATTGACTAAAATACAGTACAGTTGAAGTCGGAAGTTTACATACACCTTAGCCAAATACATTTAAACTCAGTTTTTCCACAATTCCTGACATTTAATCCTAGTAAAAATTCCCTGTCTTAGGTCAGTTAGGATCACCACTTTATTTTAAGAATGTGAAATGTCAGAATAATAGTAGAGAGAATTATTTATTTCAGCTTTTATTTCTTTCATCACATTCCCAGTGGGTCAGAAGTTTACATACACTCAATTAGTATTTGGTAGCATTGCCTTCAAATTGTTTAACTTGGGTCAGATGTTTCAGGTAGCCTTCCACAAGCTTCCCACAATAAGTTGGGTGAATTTTGGCCCATTTCTCCTGACAGAGCTGGTTTAACTGAGTCAGGTTTCTAGGCCTCCTTGCTCGCACACACTTTTTCAGTTCTGCCCACACATTTTCTATAGGATTGAGATCAGGGCTTTGTGATGGCCACTCAATACCTTGACTTTGTTGTCCTTAAGCCATTTTGCCACAACTTTGGAAGTATGCTTGGGGTCATTGTGCATTTGGAAGACCCATTTGTGACCAAGCTTTAACTTCCTGACTGATGTCTTGAGATGTTGCTTCAATATATCCACATAATTTTCCTTCCTCATGTTGCCATCTATTTTGTGAAGTGCACCAGTCCCTCCTGCAGCAAAGCACCCCCACAGCATGATGCTGCCACCCCCGTGCTTCACGGTTGGGATGGTGTTCTTCGGCTTGCAAGCGTTCCCCTTTTTCCTTCAAACATAACGATGGTCATTATGGCCAAACAGTTCTATTTTTGTTTCATCAGACCAGAGGACATTTCTCCAAAAAGTACGATCTTTGTCCCTATGTGCAGTTGCAAACCGTAGTCTGGCTTTTTTATGGTGGTTTTGGAGCAGTGGCTTCTTCCTTGCTGAGTGGCCTTTCAGGTTATGTCGATTTATAGGACTCGTTTTACTATGGATATAGATACTTTTGTACCTGTTTCCTCCAGCATCTTCACAAGGTCCTTTGATGTTGTTCTGGGATTGATTTGCACTTTTCGCGCCAAAGTACGTTCATCTCTAGGAAACAGAACGCCTTTCCTTCCTGAGTGGTATGACGGCTGCGTGGTCCCATGGTGTTTATACTTGCATACTATTGTTTGTACAGATGAACGTGGTACCTTCAGGCGTTTGGAAATTGCTCCCAAGGATGAACCAGACTCTGTGGAGGTCTACAATTTTTTTTTGATGTCAGGCAAAGAGGCACTGAGTTTGAAGGTAGGCCTTGAAATACATCCACAGGTACACCTCCAATTGACTCAAATGATGTCAATTAGCCTATCAGAAGCTTCTAAAGCCATGACATCATTTTCTGGAATTTTCCAAGCTGTTTAAAGGCACAGTCAACTTAGTGTATGTAAACTTCTGACCCACTGGAATTGTGATACAGTGAATTATAAGTGAAATAATCTGTCTGTAAATAAATAATTGTTGGAAAAATGACTTGTGTCATGCACAGAGTAGATGTCCTAACCGACTTGCCAAAACTATAGTTTGTTAACAAGAAATTTGTGGAGTGGTTGAAAAACAAGTTTTAATGACTCCAACCTAAGTGTATGTAAACTTCCGACTTCAACTGTATATACATATGAAATTAGTAAAGCAGTATGTAAACATTGAACTAGTGTTCCATTATTAAAGTGACCAGTGATTCCATGTCTATGTTTATAGGGCAGCAGCCTCGAAGGTGCAGGGTTGAGTAACCGGGTGGTAGCCGGCTAGTGATGGCTATTTAACAGTCTGATGGACTTGAGATATAAGCTATTTTTCAGTCTCTCTGTCCCAGCTTTGATGCACCTGTACTGACCTCGCCTTCTGGATGGTAGCGGGGTGAACAGGCCGTGGCTCGGGTGGTTGATGTCCTTGATTATCTTTTTGGCCTTCCTGTGACATCGGGTGCTGTAGGTGTCCTGGAGGGCAGGCAGTGTGCAACCGGTGATGCGTTGGGCAGACCGCACCACCCTCTGGAGAGCCCTGCGGTTGCGGGCAGTGCAGTTGCCGTACCAGGCGGTGATACGGCCCGACAGGATGCTCTCAATTGTGCATCTGTAAAAGTTTGTGAGGGTCTTAGGGGCCAAACCAAATTTCTTCAACTACCTTCTTCACCACACTGTCTGTGTGGGTGGACCATTTCAGATTGTCAGTGATGTGTACAGTACCAGTCAAAAATTTGGACACACCTACTCATTCCAGGGTTTTTCTTTATTTTTACTATTTTCTACATTGTAGAATAATAGTGAAGACATCAAAACTATGAAATAACACATATGGAATCATGTAGTAACCAAAAAAGTGTTAAACAAATCAAAATATATATATTCTTCAAAGTAGCCACCCTTTGCCTTGATGACAGCTTTGCACACTCTTGGCATTCTCCAACCAGCTTCACCTGGAATGCTTCTCCAACAGTTCCCACATATGCTGAGCACTTGTTGGCTGCTTTTCCTTCCCTCTGTGGTCCAACTCATCCCAAACCATCTCAATTGGGTTGAGGTCGGGTGATTGTGGAGGCCAGGTCATCTGATGGAGCACTCCATCACTCTCCTTCTTGGTAAAATAGCCCTTACACAGCCTGGAGATGTGTTTTGGGTCATTGTCCTGTTGAAAAAGAAATGATAGTCCCACTAAGCACAAACCAGATGGGATGGCGTATCACTGCAGAATGCTGTGGTAGCCATGCTGGTTAAGTGTGCCTTGAATTCTAAATACATCACCGACAGTGTCACCAGCAAAGCACCCCCACACCATCACACCTCCTCCTCCATGCTTCACGGTGGGAACCACACATGCGGAGATCATCCGTTCACCTACTCTGCGTCTCACAAAGACACGGCGGTTGGAACCAAAAATCACAAATTTGGACTCATCAGATCAATGGACAGATTTCCACCGGTCTAATGTCCATTGCTCATGTTTCTTGGCCCAAGCAAGTCTCTTCTTCTTATTGGTGTCCTTTAGTAGTGGTTTCTTTGCAGCAATTCAACCATGAAGGCCTGATTCACACAGTCTCCTCTGAACAGTTGATGTCGAGACTTGTCTGTTACTTGAACTCTATGAAGCATTTATTTGGGCTGCAATCTGAGGTGCAGTTAATCCTCTGAAGCAGAGGTAACTCTGGGTCTTCCTTTCCTGTGGCGGTCCTCATGAGTGCTGGTTTCATCATAGTGCTTGATGGTTTTTGCGACTGCACTTGAAGAAACTTTAAAAGTTCTTGAAATGTTCCGTATTGACTGACCTTCACATCTTAAAGTAATGATGGACTGCCTTTCTCTTTGCTTATTTGATCTGTTCTTGCCATAATATGGACTTAGCCCTATTTGGTAAAAGACCATCTTCTGTATACCACCCCTACCTTGTCACAACACAACTGATTGCCTCAAACGCATTAAGAAGAAAATAAATTCCACAAATTAACTTTTAACAAGGCACACCTGTTAATTGAAATGCATTCCAGGTGACTACCTCATGAAGCTGGTTGAGAGAATGCCAAGTGTGTGCAAAGCTGTCATCAAGGCAAAGGGTGGCTACTTTGAAGAATCTAAAATATATTTTGATTAGTTTAACACTGTTTTGGTTACTACATGATTCCATATGTGTTATTTCATAGTTTTGATGTCTTCACTATTATTCTACAATGTAGAAAATAATAAAAAATAAAGAAAAACCCTGGAATGAGTAGGTGTTCTAAAACTTTAGACTAGTACTGGAACAGGTTATTTTCCTGGCACCACTCCTCCAGGGCCCTCACCTCCTCCCTGTAGGCTGTCTCGTCATTGTTGGTAATCAGACCTACTACTGTTGTGTCGTCTGCAAACTTGATGATTGAGTTGGAGGCGTACGTGGCCACGCAGTCATGGGTGAACAGGGAGTACAGGAGGGGGCTGAGCACGCACCCTTCTGGTGCCGCTGTGTTGAGGATCAGCAAAGTGGAGGTGTTGTTTCCTACCTTCACCACCTGGGGGCGGCCCGTCAGGAAGTCCAGGACCCAGTTGCACAGGGCAGGGTTCAGACCCAGGGCCCCGAGCTTAATGATGAGCTTGGAGGGTACTATGGTGTTGAAGGCTGAGCTGTAGTCACTAGAAGCACAAGCATTTCACTACACTCGCAATAACATCTGCTAACCATGTGTATGTGACCAATACATTTTATTTGATTTTTGAACAGCATTCTTACATAGGTATTCCTCTTGTCTTGTCCAGAATGGATTGCGCCTTGCGTATGACTCGTGTCTGATACGAGTACACTCTATATTGCCAAGCTATGTTGTGTTCTGATCTTGTTTAGCTTTCATGACATGCTCATCGACTTTTTGCTAGGAGCCAGTCTTGTTCCTGTTGAATGATCAATAAATGAAATGCAAACTTAAGTATTTGTTACTTACGCTGCTGTTACTGTTCCCCCTACAGGTCCAAGCCATCCGCGGTGGGAACAAGAAGGTTCTGAACAAGCTCATGGGTCTGGTCCAGAAGGAGACTAAAGGCAGGGCTGACCCAGTCCTGATACGGGCCATCCTGGAGGAGAAGACCTCCTGAGGGCTAACTAACACTGTCTATGGCCACTTTGACTGCCTCAACCTTTATATGCCTGGTGGAATATCAAACTGGTCCAAGAGGCAGCAAACATGACATCCTTATGGCTTCATCATAGTTATCATGTCCTCTGGTCAAGAGGATTATTGTTGCTAAATCAACTGTCTGTCATGTTGTCTTCTGGCACCGTAACCACCTTTAAGTTGTTGCAGTTGTATTGTAACTTTATGTGTACAAAAGGTCATAAATATATTATAATTCTCATTCGGAGTGTGCACTCTTATCCCCTCCCAAACACACACTTCATCTAAAACTGTCAAGTGAATGGGATGGCATACACATCCTCCATGATAATCACACTTTAAGCAGAGACATTCCGGAATCTGATTGCAGTTTGGAACACTCTGAACCCACCAATGGCAGATCACAGCTAATAAAGGTATGGCCCATTACCAGGCGGTTTGGGAGTCGTCCCAGAATTCATCTAGCTGTTTTTTATCACTGTCGTCTGGCAGCACTGGAATGAATCAGGAGAGCAACGGAGGACAGAAGTACTATATGCAATGTATCACCTCCTGATACTCCCTCTAAAATGGATCGGATTAGGAATGATTTAGAGTTCAGTGTTCAGTCAGAGGGGAGAGAGGAAGTAGTCATGAGTAAGCGCCACCTTGTGGCTGTCAAGTGAAGGAGATACATACTGTAACCTGCAATACTGAGACATATTGGCGTTTTCTCTATCCTTTAACCTTCTGTGCTTGGCTCTCTAGAGTTAGGCATCTCTTTACATTCAGATGGCTTGAATATTGGGTTTTGTCAAATCACGGTAATTCAGTACTGGCTGGCTGTGTGCATGTGAGTTCTTGTAATGTAGGTGTTTGCCTCCCATTCATCCCCCTTTGTTTCTATTGAATGCCGTATGTAGTGACCTATATAAGAGGTATTGTACATAACACAATTGGACTTCTTGATAAAGAAAATACAGGGTTTTGTGGCTGGCTTCTGTTTGAGTGCCTGTGAAGATGACCTAGTTTTGAACAGAAGCTGGGTCACTGGATGAAAGGCTGTCAGAAGCCCTGTTTATACCTGCTGTTAATATTCGTCCTGATCTTGTCCGTTTTACACTTGGATCTCATCACAATGAGTCTTTTAATCGTCCAAAAAAATGTGTGCACAATCAAAATTGGACAAGATTAGGACAAAGGCTGCATGATAGAACCAGGTATAAACAGGGCTAGAGAGGGGATTGTTTACTAAATGAGGCAAGTGGAGTCCACTGAACAAACCATCCAAAACACAACCACCTCTGGGTGAAAGAAGAGGAAGGAAAAATGTGTTTTCCCTGTGCTTTGCATCTTACTTTACCTTTGCCGAGGTAAAGCGAAAATATACATTTTGTCTTCCTCTTCTTTCGCCCAGAGGTGGTTGTGTTTTGGATGGTTTGTGCAGCGGACTCCACTTGCCTCATTTAGTAAACAATCCCCTCTCTAGCCCTGTTTATACCTGGTTCTAACATGCAGCCTTTGTCCTGATCTTGTCCAATTTTGATTGTGCCCACATTTTTTGTTTGGTAGTGAAGCTGTCAAAAGTCAAAACACATGACATAATATTTGTTTATCTGTTCTTCAATAAAAACGTATTATAGAGAAAGAATACACTAATACATGTTTTCATTGGACAAGAAATGTCTTTATTAAAATAATCATGCCTTGGAGCCTCTGACTTCAATGACAAACAGAATAATATACACTGGAGTAACCTGACAAGGTCTTGGTCATCACTGACATCTAAAATGGATGCTAATAGTTGTAGGAAGGGAGAAACTGACTACTTGTCTTTGGAATGAAACCTCTATGCAACTGAAGAGAACTGTGCCTCTAAATTTGGTTGAAATAAATGTGCTCCACACAACATTCTACTACAAGAAAATATGGATGGAGTATATAACCAAATTTAGCAATGGCAAGAAATGATGGGTTCCATAACTGTCCATCGGCCCAGTTCGTGGACTAGTTCAAGCAGACCGTGGTATTTTTGCCTTTGCAGCTGCATCCACATTCATCCCCTGGGTAATGTTCATTAGGACGCACCGTAGGAAAAAGTTTTGCAACAGAAAACAAAAAAAGAGCATTTCTATTTGGATAAGCTCTGTTTTGTGCCTACTGAACATGACCATGCTTAGCCCAGAGTAGACGCTGTAGGCAACAAGAGGAAATTCAATCAAAATTCAGGCACCAATTTGTAGGTAGTTCTGCCCTAACACACCAATTTAATAGGGACAGGCATTGTCACAAAATACCTCCTTGGTTGAAATCAAAACCTTAAAATCAAAGTAAATTAAAATCAAAGCAATTTATTTGTTGCTAATGGTAGACCGTGTCTTAGCCTGGAATTCAAACTTAAACAATGGTGAAATTGAGCATTTCAGCTTGGATTTCAGGCTACCCATGTCTTCCTCTGCTGTGTGAGAGTTGGCCAACACTCAATGCTAAAATGAATATGCCCAATCATCAATGAACCAACCAACAGTGATGTATTCCAATCTTCCCAAACATACAAGAAACATGCATTCCCTAATACAAAGCACAGCAATGAGAAAACAGAACAACTGAAGTTACAACTTCTGTGAAAAAATATGGCAATAGAACCTCTCTCTACAAAACAGTTACATTATTGTGACATTATGTATTAAATACCCATCCCCATTAGAAAACAAAACACAATAAAGTACTCTTATACCTCAAATATCAATAATGATTTGCATAGTGTGCTGTTTCTTTGAAAATGTTTTTACAAGAATATACATACAGTACTAAAATAAGGCTAAGACATTGAGGGCTTCCCAAATGGCCCCAGTACCCCATTTAGTGCACTACATTTGACCATTTCAGTAGTCAAAAGTAGTGCACTACATAGGAAATAACGTGCCGTTTTGGACACAAACATTGAGTGCATCACCCTGATATGGAAAGCTCCTTTTAGAGTGATTTCATTATAAATAATGTGCATTCAGTGGACAGGACCTGGTGCACCATGGGAAATGGAGTTAACTGCAGTATTGAGAATTGACGTCAGAAGACCCCAGTGTCCTTAAGTACACCCCTAAATTGAAAAAACAACTTCTAACTTGAATATCTAATGTGCATTGAAAACATAATAACATAATTAAAATATGTCTATTGAACAAAGCAGGTCTTTGATTTAGCGTCAAGGAAACTTGTTTTGTTCAGTGACCTTGATAGAAGTCTAAATTACTAGGCCTCTCCTTTGAACAACAATGACCACCAGATACATAACATTAGTGAATGCCATGGTGTACAACAACTCTTAAAGTAAGTGTGAGATGAATGTGATTCCCACTAGCATCCCACTTTGACACAAACACGCTAACCCGTAGAGTTTATTGTGCTGCTGCTAGTGTACTCGGTACTGGTACCTAGCGTTTATAGCCAAGTTAGCGTTACTCATTGTGTATTTGTTATTACATTTCTATTATTACACTATTTTCTTTCTCTCTGCGTTGATGGGAAGGGCCCGTAAGTAAGCATTTCACTGTTAGTCTACACCTGTCGTTTACGGAGCACGTGACGAATAAAATGTGATTTGTTTAGTGATGAATACGCCGCAGGGAGACATCCTGAAAAATAGGCTCCTGATTGTATCCAGTACAGCATGCAATCCCAGGGTGTCGACACGGCACCACCGTAAGGCCACGTATAAGTAAGTCCCCATTGTATGGTGGCCATCACTACAAGACAACTAGAGCTGGTTCACTGGAGAGGCTGTTGCAACCAGAGCAGTACACTGATGTTTATGAATGCAATATTGTATGTCTAAAAGCCTAAAGGGACAGATTATGTATCCTTTGTGTATCATTGATTTTCCATTGTTCCGTTCAGCCTGTTCCATTCTATTCAGTCTTTGGTTGATTAGCCCCAAACTTCCATTTCAGCATTCTTATTGGTTGGTGCAGGGCTTCCACCAAAGGCTTAAAGTAGGTCAGTTATTATAAATCACATGACCTGCTCCTTGGATGTGACATAGGCCTATGCATACAACTCTCTGAGGGCGGAGCCATATACATATGAGTCTATCAGCGGCAAATGCATAAAATGGGTGAGATATTCCTGTAAGTTATGTGTTACTGTACATCAGAGCCCAACGTTTTTACATATTGGTTTGGAAAAATATATTAGCCTCAAATATATATATAACCCTATTTAAAAACTACCTCAGGGAGCGAGATTAAAGACGATTGAATCAATCCAAGAGGTATCGTCTTCTTCATCAAGTAGTGCTGGAAAATATGAACAATTTTCATAGAGTATTTTAAAAAATGTTTAAAATGACCCGAGTGGACACAACAAGTCAGGGACAGACACTCACTCCTTCCCTGTGAGACAATATTACCATAACATTATTAAAACATTATAATAACGTTATTATAACATTATTACAATGTTATTATATCGTTACTCCTCCATAGGGACGTGCGATAGTATGGAGTGCTCCTGTGCAATAGCCGCCAGTTCTTTGAGGAACTCTGTGAAGAGGACGGTAGCGAAGACCTCGGTCCTGGCCAGGGAAATGGTCTTGGGCTGGGGAGGAGGAGAGCTCTTCATCATCCTTCCTGCCTCCAGGGGGGAACATTCACTGCTGTCTCCACTGTTTGTATCTGTAGAGGATAAGTAACATTTAACTGCAGTTGGACGTTGTAGCAAGTTCATGTTAGCCCACTTGAAAGAAGAAATTCTCCCTTTTATATCAGTCTCATTTTCCTTTTTAAACCTCATGCAATCTCATACCAATACATTCCTTGCTCAGAGAGAAAGTTCTCAGATAAAATGGAGGGGAGAAACCATTGGGAATGCAGTAGACTAGACAAGTATGAGATGAAGAACATCAGGAGGACCTGAGTTGTTTCTCCATTGCTGCAGTGCTTCATGCCCACAACAAGACCAAGCTGAATATATTCTCTAAGTCCTCGAGGAACCAAACACATCACAAATTAAGCACAGATACAGTTTTAATCTTTCAGTGGTGCTTCATTGCATTGCAGCGATTAGAAAACAGCGTTATTACATGGCTAATTACTGGTCTTCTGATCTAGGATATTGCCTCAAATCCTCTGTAAGCTTTGCCTATTTCTATTCTCATCTCAATGACCTGGCTATCTATGTCTATAAGCTACAAAACAGACCTAAATTACATTCTAATGATGATCATAGGATAACTCACAATAAGTTCAACATTGAACAACGTCTCTTCAAACAAAACATTTATACTACCAGTAAGTAACAGTCCACAGTTATACAGTTGTTATAAACACTTTATGTATCCTTGCAGGGAAGCCATCACGTTAGCTTCAGAACATCTTTACTAACATGAAACTGTATATGTAGTACAGAGCATTATGGGTACTGTAGTCAATCAAGTCTCACCTTGACCCTTGAGTGAACTCTCCCTGGCCAGGAGGCAGTGCTGGGCGGAGGTGATCAGCTCTGGGAAGTCCTTCTTGGTCGAGGCCTGCTGCTCTATCTGGTTCTTAAGGGAGGCTAGTACCTGATATGGAAACACATACATAGTAACATCAGTAGAACATCAGACAGTAATTGAACAGTAGGCATTTTTAAGGGAAATACAGTGTCTTCAGAAAGTATTCACACTTTTTCCAAATTTTGTTGTGTTACAAAGTGGGATTAAAATTGATTTCATTGTAATTTTTGGTCAACGATCTACACAAAATACTCTAATGTCAAAGTGGAAGAAAAATGTTACCATTTATAAACAAAAATATGAAAAATAAAACACTAATACATCTTGATTAGATAAGTATTCACCCACTGAGACAATACATGTTAGAAACACCTTTGGCAGCAAATACAGTTGGAAGTCTTTCTGGGTAAGTCTCTAAGAGCTTTGCACATCTGAATTGTACAATATTTGCCCATTATTTTAAAAAATATTCAAGCTCTGTCAAGTTAGTTGTTGATCATTGCTAGAAAGTCATTTTCAAGTCTTGCCATAGATTTTCAAACCGATTTAAAGTTAAAACTGTAACTCGGCCACTCAGGAACATTCAATGTCGTCTTGGTAAGCAACTCCAGTGTAGATTTTGTCTTGTGTTTTTTTAAATTGTCCTGCTAAAAGGTGAATTAGTCTCCCAGTGTCTGTTGGAAAGAAGACTGAACCAGGTTTTCCTCTAGGATTTTGCCTATGCTTAGCTGTATTCCGTTTATTTTTATCCTAAAAAACTCCCTAGTCCTTGCAGATGACAAGCATACCCATAACATGATGCAGCCACCACCATGCTTGAAAATATGAAGAGTGGTACTCAGTCGAATTTGCCCCAAACATAACGCTTTGTATTCAGGACAAAATGTTCCTTTCTTTGCCACATTTTTTGCAGTATAACTTAAGTGTCTTGTTGCAAACAGAATGCATGTTTTGGAATATTTTTTATTCTGTACAAGGTTCTTTCTTTTTACTCTGTCATTTAGGTTAGTATTGTGGAGTAACTACAATGTTGTTGATCTATCCTCAGCCTTCTCATATCACAACCATTAAACTCTGTAACTGTTTTAAAATCCCCATTAGCCTCATTGTGAAATCACTGAGCAGTTTCCTTCCTCTTCGGCAACTGAGTTAGGAAGGACACCTGTAGTTTTGTAGTGACTGGGTATATTGATACACCATCCAAAGCCTAATTAATAACGTCACCATGCTCAATGGGATATTCAACATCTGCTTTTTTGATCTACCAATCAATGCCCTTCTTTGCGAGGCATTGAAAAACCTCCCTGGTCTTTGAATCTGTGCTTGAAATTCATTACTCGATTGAGGGACCTTACAGATAATTGTATGTTTGGGGTAGTCATTGAAAAATCATGTTAACCACTATTATTGAACACAGAATGAGTCCATGCAACTTATTATGTGATTTGTTAAGCACATTTATACTCCTGAACTTATTTAGGCTTGCCATAACAAAGGGGTTGAATACTTATTGACTCAATACAGCTTTTAATTTTTTATTAATTTTGAAAATGTTCTACTAATAAAATTCCACTTTGATATTATGGGGTATTTTGTGTAGATCAGTGACACAAAATCTCAATTTAATCCATTTTAAATTCAGGCTGTAACGCATCAAAATGTGGAAAAAGTAAAGGGGTGTGAAGACTTTACTGCCAGAGCACGGAGAGTACAGGATAAATATTTTATTAAAGCTACAATGAGTTAGTCTCGTTCGACTATCCTGATCTCGCGAGCTTACATTGAAACAAGATGGTGGATCAATGAGGTAACCATGCTTAATTACGTTGTTTTTTTTGCACACAGGAAACATTTTATTGGTCTATTGAGAAAAATGAATCCAATCATTTCATTTCCACAGCGCAAGATGACTTATCAAAGAAAGTTTACATTTGTTTTGACTGAATTAAGCCAATACGCTTTACGTATTCGATGCCAAGAGTATTGATACAGTGGGGAGAACAAGTATTTGATACACTGCCGATTTTGCAGGTTTTCCTACTTACAAAGCATGTAGAGGTCTGTAATTTTTATCATAGGTACACTTCAACTGTGAGAGACGGAATCTAAAACAAAAATCCAGAAAATCACATTGTATGATTTTTAAGTAATTAATTTGCATTTTATTGCATGACATAAGTATTTGATCACCTACCAACCAGTAAGAATTCCGGCTCTCACAGACCTGTTAGTTTTTCTTTAAGAAGCCCTCCTGTTCTCCACTCATTACCTGTATTAACTGCACCTGTTTGAACTTGTTACCTGTATACAAGACACCTGTCCACACACTCAATCAAACAGACTCCAACCTCTCCACAATGGCCAAGACCAGAGAGCTGTGTAAGGACATCAGGGATAAAATTGTAGACCTGCACAAGGCTGGGATGGGCTACAGGGCAATAGGCAAGCAGCTTGGTGAGAAGGAAACAACTGTTGGCGCAATTATTAGAAAATGGAAGAAGTTCAAGTTGACGGTCAATCACCCTCGGTCTGGGGCTCCATGCAAGATCTCACCTCGTGGGGCATCAATGATCATGAGGAAGGTGAGGGATCAGCCCAGAACTATACGGCAGGACCTGGTCAATGACCTGAAGAGAGCTGGGACCACAGTCTCAAAGAAAACCATTAGTAACACACTATGCCGTCATGGATTAAAATCCTGCAGTGCACGCAAGGTCCCCCTGCTCAAGCCAGCCCATGTCCAGGCTCGTCTGAAGTTTGCCAATGACCATCTGGATGATCCAGAGGAGGAATGGGAGAAGGTCATGTGGTCTGATGAGACAAAAATAGAGCTTTTTGGTCTAAACTCCACTCGCCGTGTTTGGAGGAAGAAGAAGGATGAGTACAACCCCAAGAACACCATCCCAACCGTGAAGCATGGAGGTGGAAACATCATTCTTTGGGGATGCTTTTCTGCAAAGGGGACAGGACGACTGCACCGTATTGAGGGGAGGATGGATGGGGCCATGTATCGCGAGATCTTGGCCAACAACCTCCTTCCCTCAGTAAGAGCATTGAAGATGGGTCGTGGCTGGGTCTTCCAGCATGACAACGACCCGAAACACACAGCCAGGGCAACTAAGGAGTGGCTCCGTAAGAAGCATCTCAAGGTCCTGGAGTGGCCTAGCCAGTCTCCAGACCTGAACCCAATAGAAAATCTTTGGAGGGAGCTGAAAGTCCGTATTGCCCAGCGACAGCCCCGAAACCTGAAGGATCTGGAGAAGGTCTGTATGGAGGAGTGGGCCAAAATCCCTGCTGCAGTGTGTGCAAACCTGGTCAAGACCTACAGGAAACGTATGATCTCTGTAATTGCAAACAAAGGTTTCTGTACCAAATATTAAGTTCTGCTTTTCTGATGTATCAAATACTTATGTCATGCAATAAAATGCTAATTCATTACTTAAAAATCATACAATGTGATTTTCTGGATTTTTGTTTTAGATTCCGTCTCTCACAGTTGAAGTGTACCTATGATACAAATTACAGACCTCTACATGCTTTGTAAGTAGGAAAACCTGCAAAATCGGCAGTGTATCAAATACTTGTTCTCCCCACTGTATACACACTATCAGGTGTAAAACGGGTAGCTTTTGCATAAAAGCATCTCACATGATTGAAAACAAAACCAGAGCCATAAACCAGACAAAACAAGGACATTAAACAAGACAGGACACACTGATGATGAGAGAACCAAACCGCATTCATCTCCATGACAAACAATCCAGCTCTTTTAATCTGGACCCTAATGAAAATGAAGTACCCAGTGTTTGTACATCAACAACTCGCCTTCCCCTTTCATCCCCATCCAAACATTCCCTTTAATGCGAGGTTTCAAACGGCCCCATTCCATTTTGATTTACTTGTTTACACATCCTCTATTCAATTATGCATGAATCAGCCAGCAGCAGAGAGAAACACGGTGTTAACGTCTCACTAGAGACTTGTTTCACAGCCATTATGAACTCTGTTTTCATTGACACATTAAGTGTACGCTCGCAGATAGCCTGCGTCTCAAATGGCACCCTATCCCCTAGCGTCTCAAATGGCACCCTATCCCCTAATATAGTGCACCACTTTTGACCAGGGTCCATAAGACTCTGGTTAAAAGTAGTGCATTATATAGGGGATAAGGTGCCATTTGGGACGTAAACATAGTATTCATAACCTCCTCTCTAACTAATACTATTCGTAACGGATCCCTCCTCTCTAACTTCTAACAGGTTGTCTGTCTAGTCTCCAGAGGTTTAAACAGCTCAGAGCGCTGATGGAGAAAAGCAAACAGTGTTTTTTTGGACGTTTTTACACCTCTAATGCTTACTAAATGGAACTGAGTGAAATGTTTACTGAGAGAGTTGTGTCACTATTTTGAGTAGGAGTGCATTGCAGTGTCTATGGTGAGTATCTTAACAGTAGGACTGTGTTTCAGACAGACTGAAAGTGACAGAATTATTGGAATCTAGGAGCGGGATCGGACACTTGGCTGGTGACAGTCACAGTCACACACACACACACACACACACTCTCTGTACCTGATAGAGTGAGCGTACGCTGGGCTGGAACACCATGTTGGTGTTGAGGAGGAAGGATTGCAGCAGAGGCTGGGGGTAGGCAGCCAGCTGGGCCAGTATACCAGTCAGCAGGAGGTTGACATGGAGAGAGTTATCCAGCATGTTCTCCAGACGGGACAACAGCACACTGACAAATGGCCCTACAGGGAGAGAGAAAGAGAGTCTTTACTCAGACTGTCAAACCTGGTTAAAGATCAAGAATAAGCCTTAAAGTAAGACAGATAAAACTTCAATCTACACAGGAAGAGAGAAAGATTCTTTACTCAGACTGTCAAACCTGGTTAAAGATCAAGAATAAGCCTTAAAGTAAGACAGATAAAACTTCAATCTACACAGGAAGAGAGAAAGATTCTTTACTCAGACTGTCAAACCTGGTTAAAGATCAAGAATAAGCCTTCAAGTAAGACAGATAAAACTTCAATCTACACAGGAAGAGAGAGAGAACCAAGGCTAAGAGCCACCACGTTGTGATTCTTCAGCAAATTATTCACACGTGTTAGAGAGATGACCTTCAAACCTGGTGAAGATATTGTACAAAACCTTGATGTACAATAGTTAAGGCTTTTATTTCTCAGAAAGTGTTGTTTTTATCTTACCTGTAAAAGGCACCGAATGACTCCTAGTGCTCCCACTGCAGAGCTTGGTCCCAAACAGGGACGAGTGCTGTTTCTCCAGCTCTGGCGTATCCATAGAGAAGGAGCTGAAGTCCACCTCGTCCTCCTCCATGGGGGTGACAACAGGATTCCGGAACTCTTTGTCCGCCGTTTTCACAAGGCTGCTCCCCCCGGTCTCAGCCCCGACCTCGCCACTGCCCAGCGTACGAATCAGCTCCTCATACTGACCCATGAGGTCGTCCCCCACCTCAGTAGCCGAGGGGCTCTGGAGGTTGGAGTTATGGTCCGCAACATGACCTTTGACCTCCTTTGACCCCTTTGTGACCTCCATGTTGGTGGGATGGAGTGGAAGACTCAGGCCATTGCTGAGGGGGACCTCATCCTTCTCCTGCAGACTGGATTCTTTGAAATCGTCCTCCTCAAGGTTAAATTCTGAGTCCATTTCAGATTCCGGTTGTGTCTCCCTGCTGGGTCTGCGCCGATCCACAGTATCGCGGGCGTCCTTCTTTGCCACAAGGTCGTAGACCATGACATCATCCTGGAAGTCGGACTCCTCTATGTAGGAACCCTTAACCAGCATGATGGCAGTCCTCCTCATCTCCTGGATGTGTTTGGGTGGCTCGGCTGCAGGCGGCTGTGGAGGTCTACTACTCTCAGCAGCAGCAGCAGCCTCGGGGGACACCACCGGACCGGCATCATAACTATCGTCCCACTCCAGCTCTAGTTGATTAGTAGGGGCTGGGTCTGTGGTCTGGGGCGGGCAGGGGGGATGAGGCCGTGGATGTGGATGTGACTTCTTGGGGTTGACCGTCTGGGCTTGGCGCCCCCTGGCCCCTGCCTCCTCCAGGGCACTGGGCTGGTACTCCTCTGGAGGGGGGTCCTCTCCATCGTAGGGGGCCGACCACACCTGGCAGGCCCGGGTACAGCTGCTGATGCCCAGGCGGGCATTGTAGAGGTAGTGCAGGTAGCTGACGTCCAGGTAGATCTCAGAGCCGATGACGCAGGAGTAGCCCGAGCCATCCTCGGTCTCCTCCTTCTCTGAAATACAGACAGATAGGGAGCACTACAAGTCAATAATGTATCTAACAGTGAGAGACAGACAGACAGACAGACAGACAGAGAGACAGACAGACAGACAGACAGACAGACAGACAGACAGACAGATAGAGCGACAGACAGACAGACAGAGCGACAGACAGACAGACAGAGCGACAGACAGACAGACAGACAGACAGACAGACAGACGAGACAGACAGACAGACGGACAGACGGACAGACAGACAGACAGAGCGACAGACAGACGAGACAGGCAGGCAGGCAGACAGACAGACAGACAGACAGACAGACAGACAGACAGACAGACAGACAGACAGACAGACAGACAGACAGCATAAGTCAGTATGATAAATATGTTAAAGTAGTGTGCGCACATCCAGTTACTTGCAGGGTACAATAAGTAAAGTCATGACACATACAGAGAGACAGGCAGATAGACAGAGAGATAGACATACAGATAGGGAACAGAACAAGTCAGTGTGATGAATAATTTTACTAATCCTGGCTGGCACAATGCGCTGCATTCACGCACAGCAGAACTAATGATGTTGACAATTAACCACAGGAGGCTAAACTGATTAAATTTACTTCAGCAGCAGGAGATTTCATGAGTTGATAAAACACTTTTTAATAAGGCCTCTTATGTTTTTAATCTGACAACATTTAATGTAAAGATCATACAGAACCATAACTGATAGATGTTTGAATGACTCTTGATAAGTAGTAAATGGATAGGAATAATGCATTATGACTATAATTTGGGGAGGCCAAAAAAATATATTGCGTCCCGATTTTGTCCTGCGGGGCGCCTGTTGCCGAACCCTGTTGTACTATATCATGTTCCCTTGCCAAGGTGATGGGCTGTATCATGGACATCTAGACAGTTCAAAAACTTTGGCTGTGTGGTTTGTGTTTTGTTGGTTTTTGGTAAATACCACCACCACAAATGAGGTCAAAGCGCTCGCCACCAACAATCTTATGACTAGTCGCAACTCAGTGAAGGAACTTTTTGTGTGTGGAAGACTTTGGATCAGCGTAGAGCTCATTGAAGCTGCGATTGTGAACACAGAAGAGAGGGAAGGGTGAATCAGATTAGGATCAAATGTGATCTTAATTCGTTTCGTCTACTCAGACTAAGCTGCAGCACATGGCCTAAAATCCCAAACACAAATATTCAGGCCACTTGAAACAAAGGAAACTAGATTGTCTATCTCTCGACCTATAATCATAATGAAACCCATTGTTAAAATCGAAATGCACTGTTTAAATCCTTCAGAAGTAACAGTTTATTCTCTGAGAACCATTGAGGCATTCAAAATATCAAGTCAAATACTAAGCAACTGGTTAAATAGGGGGTTAATTCCACTTTACTTCTGCATGTAGCATGTTACACTGTCTTGCCCTAGTGATAGGCATATATAAAGTACAGAACCAGCTATAAATCTCCAGTGAACCTATCTTACCCATGGTGCCAGTGTTAGGACTGTTGTCTGTGCCCTTTGACCAGAGGATGGAGTCCAGCTGTCTGAGGGGTGGGGGGCTGTGTTCGGGGGAGCAGCAGGAGGGTGTGAGCGCCAGGATCTTAGCGGCCGACACAGAGTAGCAGTCTCTCTCCTTCACCACGCGTCTCTGGCTCAGCATCATGTGATTACAGGGGATCAGGTACCTGGAGAACCAGAGGAGGGGGGTAGATCCTGTTAGGGAGCCCCAGCAGGGGGAACTGAGACTGGGGTTGGGAGAGGAGGAGTACGGGGGGTTGTGGTTGTACCAAGAAGGCAGATGGGTCTGTATTTGAGTGTTAAGGAGTAAAAGCGGAGTAAGGGCTCATCACATTATAAACCAATTAGCTGTACCGTGATTTACAGTAAGACAATGAGGCTTAGCTGAGAGGAGAAACTGAATGTGTGTGTATGTGTGTGTGTGTGTGTGTGTGTGTGTGTGTGTGTGTGTGTGTGTGTGTGTGTGTGTGTGTGTGTGTGTGTGTGTGTGTGTGTGTGTGTGTGTGTGTGTGTGTGTGTGTGTGTGTGTGTGTGTGTGTGTGTGTGTGTGTGTGTGTGTGCGTGTATGCACGCGTCAACTAGGTATACAGAGAAAGACATCATACACCCCAAATCTTTTATATAACATCATCATTAACATGCATAGAACATGGAAAACAGGCCCCACCCACTCACCTCAAGATGAGCTGCAGCATCACATCCTCACAGTATAGTCCAATGAGAGTCTGGAACAGCGCCAGAGACACAGTACCCAGCTGGAAAACACCAAGAGGATAAACACATCACAAGATGATGAAACAAAGGCCTCAGAGGACTGGAATACTGGAAAGCATCACAGGGCTGGATTAACAAGTAAGGGATAACCAAGGCTGAATTCAAAATGGCTGCCTGTGGCACCTGGCATCATACCTGTTTATATGTTGCAGAGTGACTATGGACAGCCTGTAGTCACAGCTTTTGATGATACTTGTATTTTAAGATTCACAGAGTTGGCATGTAACCAGGTAATAGTGCCCCTAGGCCCCTATTGAGTTATGTTTTATACATGGTGTATGTCTTAATTAGGTTCAATCGTGTGGAAACAGGTGTAGGCCTAGGTGTCTGAGTTGCTGACAGCTGAATAATGATAAGTGTAGGGAAATGTCTGTCCATTTGAGGGTTTAGAATGGGGCAATTCACCAACAGGATGTTTTGGGTTCAGTGCTATAGTACTTCCTGCTTCTAATAATGAGGGTTGGGGACCTGTTTCCTGTCAAGGCCTTTTAAACAGATTTCTTTTTTAGATAAAAGACTGTTCTTTGAGCCAGCTCTGTGTTGTTGTGGTGATGTTAAAAACATCAAATCATTTTCCAAACCATCAATGTTAAATGGGCTGCAAGTATCAGAGAAGTGTTGTTTTCTACCCTGTAGAGTACAAAGCAGCACAGGAGCGTTTTTCACAGTTGAGTAGACCTGTGAAGAGAACACTTGAACGTTTCAATTGACAAGCCTCTGTTTGATGGTAATGAATAAAGCCTTTCCAGCAATTTCCCCCAAAACTGTTTGAACTAGACATTACATTTCCTAATATTTACTGGCCTTGTATTATCAGTCCATCGACTAATTATATAGTTATTGCGCACTTCCATGGCAACAATCTGCTCTCTTTGATATTTACATTTTAAATATTACTTTCAATTAATAGGAAACGGGGCTTCAGGGGAAACTATTTATCTACAAAACAAGTCTCCATTTTTTAAAAATATGACTCACAGCATAGCAGAAAGATTCACAGACAACTTTCTAAAGCTCCTAATTTACGTCAGGTTGAGGCGGCCTGGCTATCTTGTATAGATTTAACCTGGCGACTACTCCTGTGTTACTAGGAGACTCTAGGTTGATATATGCACAGTACTCAATACGTTTTGTAACTGTATGTGTGTGGTTGTGTGTATTTGTGTGTGCTAGTACGAAGGCTCCCGGATCTGAAAAGGGTTGTTGACACAACCACACACATTACCTGGAAGGGTGTGTTGATGTGGCTGACCAGCGTGTCCAGGATGTGGAAGTTACCTGGAAGGGTGTGTTGATGCGGCTGACCAGCGTGTCCAGGATGTGGAAGTTACCTGGAAGGGTGTGTTGATGCGGCTGACCAGCGTGTCCAGGATGTGGAAGTTACCTGGAAGGGTGTATTGATGTGGCTGACCAGCGTGTCCAGGATGTGGAAGTTACCTGGAAGGGTGTGTTGATGCGGCTGACCAGCGTGTCCAGGATGTGGACGTTCTCGTGGCGGTGGAGGAGGATGAAGGAGAGGAAGGTCTGCAGCAGGACCGGCTCCGACACCGACCGCACAAACAGGTCCAGATAGGCCGTGGTGGTCATCACCTCCTCCAGGGTCAGCTAGAGAGAAACACACACAACCATCAGTGGGATGGATACAGATACGTTGCATCCTTCCTTCCAATCTTCCTGGAAGTAGTGACTGATCTGACATTGATCTGGAATGGTGAATGTAATACTATGAGATCCATGCTGTGTTTATACTGACCTTGTGGAGGGCCGGTGCCAACACAGGCACCAGAAAGCCATTGTAGATGTAGCTGACCAGCTGGTCCCTGATGCTGGGGTGAGACACCTGAATGACTGCATTGCAGAACTCCAGTGAGTTGAGGAACTGGACCAGGGTGGGCATCTGTAGCCAGTCATCTCTGCGGAGGCAGTGCCACTCCTCACCGGGCACCTCCAGCTTGGTGGGCAGAGACGAGTACAGACCGCTCAGCCCCGTGGCCAGCACCTAGAGGAGGGGGAGAGAGGAGAGAGAGACACAATTAGTGGAACCCCTTAAAGTAGGCTATTGCTTACTTACACCACATAAACTGTACACTGTGGTCTGGTATCACGAGTATGCGACCAAGTTGCTGGGAATAACTAGGATCTGATATTATTGTTTGTTTCCTTTAATCTTTGCATGAGTTTCCTTTTGTGCATGTGAAAGATAACTATCCATGACTTTGCACAAAGGGCTGAAATGCCTTGGCAGGATACAGCGACGCCTCTAAACCAGGGCCCTGAATAGGCCTCTGTTCTGACTTCCTGGTACAGGTATATCCCTGTCTCTCCATTGGCTTATACAGACAGTAGGAAGATATGCAGGTAATCCTGTGACAAAGAGGTATTGTAGCCTACTCCCGCTGTGCAATTGCGTCAAATATTGTTACATAACTGGTAATCATCCATGCAGCCTGTACAGTACAATGTCTTTCCACGGTACAGGTGAGATTGAAAAAAAATCCTGTTGACACTGTTTAAGCACTGCCAAGCTAGATAGTCAGTTCACAACGGCTTAACAGAAGGGTTTGATAGTGAAGATACTAGTCGCAACATGACAAGTGTTCTGTGGTGGATGCTGTAAAAACATTCAGATGGCCAGACGGGTGCTTGAGGATTACACTTTAGAGAGTTATAGCTAATGATTTACACATTAAATATGAGGCTTGAGCAACCTACATTAATTATGAGTGGGGAAATGTGTAGCATAAATGACATATGAGGGACGTTTATGCATTTATGTTTTCACTCTGGCTTCACTCTCAGTGGTTTTTATAGTGCAGATATAAATGATGTTTTCCCCTTCCATGCTTTGAGCTGTACTGTATGTTATAAATCTACCAGGTCCCTTCTCTCCATGGTCTCACATTCAAAAGGCTGGTGTGTGAATCTATGCATATGATAGGTGGGCTTCTTTGGGACCTTAATGAATATTTGACCTCAAGAAGCTTCATCCCTCAAAGCTGAACGCGAGGGGAGAAAGGCAGCATTACTAAAATGAACTCTAGTTGATTTACCTCTATTTGATTTACCTGTTGCCCGGCTTCATCAATAACAATGGGCATTGACATATGGCTGTGAGATGTTACAGTTACCATACAAAAGCAGGTGATTTCCCTGGTGAGCTAATGCATCAAGATGGTGCCGTGGTTTGATAAGTATTCTCATCAACAACACAGGTCAAAATTACTACATCAGTCTAGTGCAAATCGATGGAACATCAATTTTAATCGTCATGGGATTTAAGTGTTCATCCATTTTGTTTAATCAAACTAATATTTTAAAATAGTTTACAGTAAATATACAGTCTGAGATGTATATAAATTATTTCTACAGCTGGGCTGAGTTTTGCCTTTTAATAACATGGGTATGTTGCTTGTTACATTTTCATAAGCATTTGAATACCACTCATTAACATAAAACATATGTTAAAACCACTCTCCCTCGACCTACTTTATTATGCATACAGTAGGCTAAGCATATTTTGGCTATGAATATCATACGCCTATCAGGGGACAAAGAGAGGTCAGGGATATTAACCTGTCTGGTAGTTGGTACAATGGGTTTCATTGAGTTAATAGGACATTGAGTCAAGGGCAGAACAATCATCCATTTGAAATGTATACAGTGGGTATATAGGGAAAGAAAGAGAGAGAGATGGGGAGAGAGATGGGGAGAGAGATGGGGAGAGAGAGAGAGAGAGAGAGAGAGAGAGAGAGAGAGAGAGAGAGAGAGAGAGAGAGAGAGAGAGAGAGAGAGAGAGAGAGAGAGAGAGAGATAAAGTCTAAACAAAGAGAGCAAGAGAAGGGCCAAGGGACAGTGAGATTTAGGAAGACCGTGAGACCTAAGAAGAAAGTGAGACATACAGTGGGGGAAAAAGTATTTAGTCAGCCACCAATTGTGCAGGTTCTCCCACTTAAAAAGATGAGAGAGGCCTGTAATTTTCATCATAGGTACACGTCAACTATGACAGACAAAATGAGAAAAAATAATCCAGAAAATCACATTGTAGGATTTTTAATGAATTTATTTGCAAATTATGGTGGAAAATAAGTATTTGGTCAATAACAAAAGTTTCTCAATACTTTCTTATATACCCTTTGTTGGCAATGACACAGGTCAAACGTTTTCTGTAAGTCTTCACAAGGTTTTCACACACTGTTGCTGGTATTTTGGCCCATTCCTCCATGCAGATCTCCTCTAGAGCAGTGATGTTTTGGGGCTGTCGCTGGGCAACACGGACTTTCAACTCCCTCCAAAGATTTTCTATGTGGTTGAGATCTGGAGACTGGCTAGGCCACTCCAGGACCTTGAAATGCTTCTTACGAAGCCACGCCTTCGTTGCCCGGGCGGTGTGTTTGGGATCATTGTCATGCTGAAAGACCCAGCCACGTTTCATCTTCAATGCCCTTGCTGATGGAAGGAGGGTTTCACTCAAAATCTCACGATACATGGCCCCATTCATTCTTTCCTTTACACGGATCAGTCGTCCTGGTCCCTTTGCAGAAAAACAGCCCCAAAGCATGATGTTTCCACCCCCATGCTTCACAGTAGGTATGGTGTTCTTTGGATGCAACTCAGCATTCTTTGTCCTCCAAACACGACGAGTTGAGTTTTGACCAAAAAGTTCTATTTTGGTTTCATCTGACCATATGACATTCTCCCAATCCTCTTCTGGATCATCCAAATGCACTCTAGCAAACTTCAGACGGGCCTGGACATGTACTGGCTTAAGCAGGGGGACACATCTGGCACTGCAGGATTTGAGTCCCTGGCGGCGTAGTGTGTTACTGACGGTAGGCTTTGTTACTTTGGTCCCAGCTCTCTGCAGGTCATTCACTAGGTCCCCCCGTGTGGTTCTGGGATTTTTGCTCACCGTTCTTGTGATCATTTTGACCCCACGGGGTGAGATCTTGCGTGGAGCCCCAGATCGAGGGAGATTATCAGTGGTCTTGTATGTCTTCCATTTCCTAATAATTGCTCCCACAGTTGATTTCTTCAAACCAAGCTGCTTACCTATTGCAGATTCAGTCTTCCCAGCCTGGTGCAGGTCTACAATTTTGTTTCTGGTGTCCTTTGACAGCTCTTTGGTCTTGGCCATAGTGGAGTTTGGAGTGTGACTGTTTGAGGTTGTGGACAGGTGTCTTTTATACTGATAACAAGTTCAAACAGGTGCCATTAATACAGGTAACGAGTGGAGGACAGAGGAGCCTCTTCAAGAAGAAGTTTCAGGTCTGTGAGAGCCAGAAATCTTGCTTGTTTGTAGGTGACCAAATACTTATTTTCCACCATAATTTGCAAATAAATTCATTAAAAATCCTACAATGTGATTTTCTGGAATTTTTTTTCTCAATTTGTCTGTCATAGTTGACGTGTACCTGTGATGAAAATTACAGGCCTCTCTCATCTTTTTAAGTGGGAGAACTTGCACAATTGGTGGCTGACTAAATACTTTTTTCCCCACTGTAAGAAGACAGTGAGACCTAAGAAGACAGTGAGACCTAAGAAACAGAAACACAGAGCCATATAGAGAGAGTCACAAATCCCAGACAGAAAGTGAAAGAGACCAAAGACAACAGCATCATAAAGACAGACAGCCACATCTCCTCACCGGACAAAAGTAGGTGTTCTCTGCGATGTGCTGGGCCACGCGCTGGTTCTCTGCAGACAGCGACATGATGAGGAGCAGGGCGTCCCGGGCCTGCTGGCCCACCAGGCCCTCCCGGTGGATGAAGGGGATCAGCAGGGAGAAGATCAGGAAGTTGGCCGCCCCCTGGTCCTCGCTGTAATAATAATCAGCGTCATCATCATAATAATTGATGGGATTTATATAGAGCTTTTCCAGTATCTCAAAGCGCTTTACATAGTAAGGCAGGAAACTCACCTGGTATGGAAGAAGAGCTCCAGGACAGACTGGTCCCTGGCCAGGACGCAGCACAGCTGGTTGAGTAATGACACCAGCTCAGCCTCCACCGCCGGGGCAGCTGTCCCCGAGCACGATGACAGGAGCATCATTAAGGGCCGTAACACAGGTTTGTGGTGCAGTAAGGGCTGCCGCGCCTGGCCCACTATCATCTCATACATCTTAGAAGAAGAAGAAGAGGATCACTTTATTGTCGGTTGTCACTGAGATGTGTCTTTTTCCTTTATCCCAACCCCCCGAGACACCCTCCTCACACCCTGCCAGATTTCCCTGTCAGACCAGGGATTCAAACCGCCAACCCTCCAGTTACCGACCACCGTCTCTAACCTCTACACCTACCTTGAGCTGCTCCAGCTTCATATCATCAGTAAACTGCCGCCTCAGGCTCCACAGGAAGAGCCTCTCCATGACGTTCTCCATCACCACAAACTCCAGGATGGGTCCCATGGCTCCCGCCTGGCCGGCGTCCTCCTCCATGAGCAGGAACAGCATGTGTTCCACGTAGTTCTGCACCGCGCTGGCCTCGTCCCCCGGGATGGGCCCGCCGAAACGCATGGGGCCGCCGCTGGTGAGGCCGATGACACCAAGGGCAGCGCTGCTGGTGTTGCTGCGGAGAGGATCATGCTTCTCCAGGATCTTTACCACCTGAAGGGACAACAGGGAAGGTACAGGGTTATGTCCATAGAAATGAATATAGTACCTGTATAAATAGGATATCTGTGGTAATTTCACAAGGAAGAACATCAAATAAGATAAGATACTTCTCGCAGTGAACTGAATATTGTCTTTAGTCAACTTGAAGTTTATCTGATAACCTTGATAGAGCAAGATTAAATAAATTGACAAACAATAGAGATAGTCACAAAGCTATTACAGTATGCCATTCCTACTGTCATCATAACAGTTGAAATCAAATTATCAAGTTATTTCATAGCGTATACACCAGAGTATAAGACAAACTCTCTCAAACTCTGCCAATGTGCTTACAATGATGTTCAGGCTAAATTAGATTGACTAAAACATATTGGTTTGTTATGTAGATAATATCCTATGGGAGGACTCATAAGTGACAGTTAATAATAATCATTGGACAGCCTGCTGCTGCCTTTATTGATCTAGATGAACACAACAGTCTCTCTTAAAATAGGAAAATCTGATAGAGAATACAACTCAAGTCCTATGGGAAATAAATCAGGGAAAGTTGATGTATCATTTGTGATTTTATGAAGATTACATTTGCCTGAGTCATGTCAATATAATATCTCAAGCCCAGGCAGTTAAAATTGTGTATAAATTGGGTTTGTGGTGTTCCAATTCCACTGTTGCCTCCGGAACTTTGTACTGAAATGTAAATGGACAACCACAAATCAAGTGACATGGCATTTATATTGACAGTGAACCATAAACAAAATGAACACTGACAGAAACATTCACATAATATAAATATATTGATGGTAAATCAGCTTGATATAAAAGAGTATAAGGCTGCTTTGTCCTCTATATGTTTGTGCCTTACTGTGCAGTTAGTCAGTCCCTCTCTAGTTAGGCCTACCTACATAGGCCTTACTAATGAATACAGGACTGTATGTGTTTTGTTGCCTCGGAAAAACTAAAATCTGTATTCTCATTGGACAGGTTCAGGTAGTACCTCCCTGTTTCACTAAGTTTCAAAACATTCCTTTAATGAACACAACCCAGACATGGGAGGAACCATCCATAGCATCCCAACAATGAGCCCACTGTCCCCACCAGGCCCTGCTACCATGGCGATGGGGAGTCCACTGAGAGCAGAGGGAGAGCCAGCCTGGCTGACTGAGACAGAGCCCCTAGGTGACTGATTGATCCAGGCATGATAGCACGATAACCGCACAGGATGAGTGAAGAGTGGGTGGAAAGAAGGAGGGTGAGGGGAGGAGTGATGGTGTCATATTAAAATTACCACTTCACTCATGTCTGTCTACTGTCCTGTCGGGTATTTCTGCTGTAACAAATAGCTTTGAGGACATAGCTGGCAAACACAGTAGGATTATAGATGATCAAGTAGCCTTTTCTAACCAGGTGGGTGGACACTGACTGGACTGACTAATAATACATGGAGGTGATGGAGGCATGGAGCCGTCAGGATAATGGATAACATGTACTGGTACATAGAGATAAATCAATTTAGTTATCTTTGTGTACTGGTATCTGTATAGAACCATAGCGAGATGAAACAAACTGTTGCCCAGAACATATTATCCTGTCCTGGGCAACCCACAACACTGACTGGATAACAACCAGCTCGCTCAGACATCCTAACAAAAGGACTGTGATTTCAGAGGGGTCTGGAGAGGGAGAGATAAGGCTGAATCCACTGACTGTCAATGAAAATCTACCTATTTTTCTGAAATGTCAACAGTGTTCCTCAATACAGGGTCCCGGGGGGTGCCTACTTAGCAGGCTGGGCAGTTCCAGGAATTCTAAGACCCAAACTCAATAGCACTCCTATCAAGCTATTCATTAGCCAAAATGTTGCAGTTAAGACTCAGCTGGAGCCGTATTGTAGTGCTAACTTGCCTGCAGAGAGGGTCAAAGATCTATAGAATGTCCTACATTTCAGAATATGATTCTGTTGAAACCTTTAACAGTGCACTTCACAGGCCTAATATTTATATTATAAATGGTGAGAATGATTTTTTTTTTAAATAACAATATTTAACATGATGATTTCTGTCCTCTTGGTGTTACTGTGTTATTACTGTTCTACGTCCAGCAACGTGAGCTCCAACCCCATAAATGATGTTTGTGTTTCCAGGCCTTAATGTGTTCTATTCTCTGTAGCTGAGAGGGATGGAGACTCCTGCCAACTCCCTCCCACTGGGGTGAATGGAGGCTGAATAGAGAAGGGAGGAGCCAGTAGACCGAAGCTGTCATTATTTCAGTTACATACTGTAGCCGTTCGGTTACAACAATGAGGTCTGGGGCTGAGAGGGTTCAAGTTCATGGGCGGGATTGTAGGCTTTAATTTGTAGGTAAGGGGTTTGAGGAGATGTTTGTGTTATAGGTTCTGCGGTGGAGTTTGGCGTTATGGTTCAAATTATAAGAGTTTGTGATTTAAGAGTTTGAGGAACAGCTTTTGGGTAAAAGTGATTGGGCTACAATGATATGCATTTAGTGTTCTGAGGGTTTGAGTTAGGGTCTGGGTTCTAAGAGAGAGAGCTATACAAGTTAAGGTAGGGTTTGGAGCTGAAGTTATATTTAGGGTTACAAGACACAGGTTTTGTTTACCTGTGCCCAGTGGTTCTTGAACACGATCATGCATGTCTCTGGGTCCACCCCTTTCAGGACCAGGGCCTGCCCCTTCCTGCCATCCATGTTTCCATTGGCAACCATGGAGGCCATCATCATGGTGACCAGGTCCTGTGTGGGTTAAACCATTACGCAGGAAGGAGAGGGGTAGAGGGGGGAGTCCTCACTGGAGACCGGGTGAGACCACTTGCACAGTGGGGTGAGTGAACACTGGGGATCTGAACAACACAGAAAACATAATGTCATCATCCTGTACATGCAGATGGAGAATCTGTGGTTTGTCATTGTTCAAACCTATAACAATACATACTATGGCATACTGTAGCAGTAGTTGAATAACAGCGTACTTCTACTGTAACATAGGACAGATTAAGACTACTGTAACATAGGACAGATTAAGACTACTGTAGCATAGGACAGATTAAGACTACTGTAGCATAGGACAGATTAAGACTACTGTAGCATAGGACAGATTAATACTACTGTAGCATAGGACAGATTAAGATTACTGTAGCATAGGACAGATTAAGACTACTGTAACATACAACATATTAAGACTATTGTAGCAGATAACAGATAAAGACTACTGTAGCATACAATAGATTAAGACTACTGTAGCAGACAACAGATTAAGACTACTGTAGCATAGGACAGATTCAGGGTGATTGATTGGGACATACTGTACAGTTGACCACCAGCCAAATAAACCACACAAACACTGCAGCAGCCTGCAGCACTGTCTCTCCTTTCTTCTCTCCCTCTCTGTCTCTCTCTCTCTCTCTCTCTCCCTCTCTCCTCTCTCTCTCTCTCTCCCTCTCTCTCCCTCTCTCTCTCCCTCTCTCTCTCCCTCTCTCTCTCCCTCTCTCTCCCTCTCTCTCCCTCTCTCTCCCTCTATCTCTCCCTCTATCTCTCCCTCTCCCTCTCTCTCCCTCTCTCTCAATTCAATTCAATGTCAATTTAAGGGGCTTTATTGGCATGGGAAACGTATGTTAACATTGCCAAAGCAAGTGAAGTAGATAGTAAACAAAAGTGAAATAAACAATAAATATTAACAGTAAACATTACACTCAGAAGTTCCAAAAGAATAAAGACATTTCAAATGTCACAGGGCACCTGAGTGGCGCAGTGGCACAGGGCACCTGAGTGGCGCAGTGGCACAGGGCACCTGAGTGGCGCAGTGGTCTAAGGCACTGCATCGCAGTGCTAACTGTGCCACTAGAGATCCTGGTTCGAATCCAGGCTCTGTCGCAGCCGGCCGCGACCGGGAGACTCATGGGCGGCGCACAATTGGCCCAGCGTTGTCCAGGGTAGGGGAGGGAATGGCCGGCAGGGATGTAGCTCAGTTGATAGAGCATGGCATTTGCAACGCCAGGGTTGTGGGTTCGATTCCCACGGGGGGCCAGTATAAAAAAAAACATGTATTCACTAACTGTAAGTCGCTCTGGATAAGAGCGTCTGCTAAATGACTAAAATGTAAAAATGTAAATGTATATATACAGTGTTGTAACAATGTGCAAATGGGAAAAAATAAATAAATAAAATAAACATAAATATGGGTTGCATTTACAATGGTGTTTGTTCTTCACTGGTTGCCCATTTCTTGTGGCAACAGGTCACAAATATTGCTGCTGTGATGGCACACTGTGGTTTTTCACCCAGTAGATAAGGGAGTTTATCCAAATTGGGTTTGTTTTAGAATTTTTTGTGGATCTCTGTAATCTGAGGGAATTTGACATTTGCTCAGTACATTGTTTTCACTGAGGAAATTAACTAGTCTGCTGTTAATGATAATACAGACACAGTCAACATATTTTACATACCTAAACAGTTCCAGTTCCAGAACATTCATGGAAAGAATAGTGTTTTATTAGTTCTCGTGGGCCCACTAGCTTGTAATTCACACTCTATTGTCATGCATCATAATCTCTTCTGGTGTCACAAGACGAGTGAGTGGGTGATGGAAGTCGGTTTGGATAAAAGCGTCTGCTAAATGGCATATATTAATACGAAGCGGACTGGTCACAACTTTTCCCTGGGTAAGCATTTTGGCAGGCACTTGTCGAGCTGAGGAATAGAGGGCATGGGTTGTGCCACCGGCTGAGTCCTCTCTCTCTCTCTCTCCTCTCTCAGGCCATAGAGATAGGAGAGAGATAGAGAGAGAGAGGAGAGAGATAGAGAGATAGAGAGAAGAGAGATAAGGAGAGAGAGAGAGAGAGAGAGAGCGATAGCATCTCTAGAGAGAGAGAGAGACGAGAGAGAGGCGCAGAATCGAGAGAGCACGCGCATAGCTCGAGCGCTCTACTCTAGCCCCGAGGAGATATCGCCTAGAGGGGGAAGAGAGAGAAGGAGAGAGAGAGATCGCGAGAGAGAGATCTCAGAGAGGATCGAGATAGCGAGAGAGGAGAGGAGAGAGGCAGAGAGAGAGAGACTCAGCCGGTGGCACAACCCATGCCCTCTATTCCTCAACTCGACAATTGCCTGCCAAAATGCTTACCCAGGGAAAAGTTGTGACCAGTCCGCTTCGTATTAATATATGCCATTTAGCAGACGCTTTTATTCAAACCGACTTACAGTCATCCTTGCATACATTTTTAAGTATGGGTGGTCCCAGGAATCAAACCCACTATGCTGGCGTTGAAAGCTCCATGCTCTAGCAACTGAGCTACAGAGGATCACAGAGGTACAGAGGTAACGCCTCGTTAGCGTGCTACAATGCACAGTGAATTCCAACAGGTCCCAGTGACACCACTTCCATCACCCACTCACTCGTCTTGTGACACCAGAAGAGATTATGATGCATGACAATAGAGTGTGCATTACAAGCTAGTGGGCCCACAAGAACTAATAAAACACTATTCTTTCCATGAATGTTCTGGAACTGGAACTGTTTTGGTATGTAAAATATGTTGACTGTGTCTGTAGCCTAAAGTTATAGCTCTGTCTACAAGTGCCTAAGCAAATATGTGTCCCTCACATTTCTAGAGAGTGAGGTATGTTGTGCATTTCTCACATTGCTCGTCAGTCGGGAACCAAAATAATGATTAAAAGTACAAAAAATAACTTGTCCGCCAAGACATTGCAGAACTATTCCAGCCTTACGGTTTACCTGCTACACACATAGACCTGTATCCCCACAGAATGCAATAAAACACAAATATATTCTCTATGCTTATACCAGCTCAATAAGTCAATAATGTGACTGTGACAGCCAGATAACATTAGGTGCAAGCCAGGGTTATTTGTTGCTTCCCTTGTAAAGGAGGTGATTGTACAGGAAAGAGGACCATTGCTGCAAACAAAAGCTTGGCTATCTGCTAACACAGTGTAGTACAACAGGCCATCTCCCTCCCCGCCCCAGTCCCTGCTCAGGTCAGTTATAAATAGGACTATAACTCAGGAAGGAGGATATTTGGATTCTATTATCTTCCTAGAGTCTCATGTTTCCGTTTCTCTGAGGACAGTGAATGGAGACTATGGTGGTTCTGAGAATCTGTGATTTTCATTCTAGAGTCTAGTAGTGCTATGTGGTGTCATTGGCCAAGTGCCCACATCGGATGTGCGTAATTCTGAGGACATCCGATGTTCAACAGATTATATCCATGCCAACAGATCAAACTTTGAAGACTTGATAACAGACTAACAATTGGGACTGACTAGACAGTACATAAAACTGGGCTACCTACTCAGTCTGACAACAATGCAAACGAAAGCACAATATCTAGTTAGCCGTTGCTAGGTACTAGCATATAATCAATCAGGTCAGTAAACAACAGTCCAGGACAATGTCTTCTATTGAAGACGTCTGCCTCATACTGTACAGAGTACAATAACAACACATGAAGTGCAGCCATGCATTGCAGGAGGTCAACTGTAACCCTACTGCTAGCAGCAGCTACAGACCGTCAGACCACAATGACCAATCAGAGATCAGAAAGGCTGCCCCTCAAACGGCCTCTCAACCAATCAAGGCCAAGTAAAACCTATTTTTAAATGGTTTCCACCCACTTGGAGAGGAGAGGCTTAACAACCAACCACAGAGAGACACTGAAACACTCATGCTACAGCTAAACACATCTGTTTTTAGTTAACACAGGGAAAGTGCCTTATAGGAATGCATGGGGCAGGGTCACCCAGTACAAAAATCGCTGAAATTCTTACCTCTGCTTCACCATGGTTGCTCGTCTTGTTTTCTTGAATCGACAATACAGAATGTCCTTAAGGGGAGAGAGAAGACCTCATCCTCTTTACAACCAGGCACACCCCAGTCCTGTGGAGAGAGAGAGAGAGAGAGAGAGAGAGAGAGAGAGAGAGAGAGAGAGAGAGAGAGAGAGAGAGAGAGAGAGAGAGAGCGAGAGAGAGAGAAAAGTCTAACTTTGACACACCAGAGGAGCTTTGAGAGCAGCACTGCCAGACAGTGTGACTGAGTGGAGTTCCTGGTGCTGTGGTATGGAGCGGGGGAATGAGTGGAGACTAGAGCTATGTGAGGAAGTGACTGGACGGAGAGAGGGGGAAGAGAGAGAGGGGGAGTAACACAGATAGAGGAGGAAGAGAGAGAGGGGGAGTAACACAGATAGAGGAGGGAGAGAGAGAGGGGGAGTAACATACAGAGAGACAGACAGAGACAGAGAGAGAGAAATATAGAAAAAAAGAGAGAGACAGAGAGACAGAGAGAGAGAGAGAGAGCGAGACAGAGAGAGACAGAGACAGAGAGAGAGGGAGAGAGAGAGAGAGAGAGAAGAGAGAGAGAGAGAGAGAGAGAGAGAGAGAGAGAGAGAGAGAGAGAGAAAGAGAGAGAGACAGAGAGACAGAGAGTAGAGAGAAAGAGGGAGTAACACAGAGAGAAAGGGAGCACCGCCCACAACCACACACACTAAATAAGCATGGTGACAACGGTGCCAAACTACAAACTAACATCTTCTGAAAGAACATAACAATGTCCTCATCATCATTTGTTGAATAATCATGCTATTGTCCACTCCAATTAGAGTTGTGATATAATTGGTGTCTCTGGTCAGCAATGAGCCCCCTCTCCTCCCTTAACATGCTATGGCCTCTCTGACACTGCCACACTGAGGCACCATGGGAAACCTGTCACAACATATTACATTGCGCAGAAAGACATTACTTCTACGATGTGACCACTGACCACACTCTTAGAGGGAGGCCAGATCACTGAAGTCCACATACGTCAAATAAAACATAAGCTAAAACATTCTAGGCATTCTCGACCGGACCGACAACCATACAAAATGCACTGCATACCAGTCATGTCCAAGTTGACTTACTCTGTAGCGACAACTCTAAAATGTTTCCAGGAAGATCATATCGGCATGATGTATTGTAAACACTAACCGCAGTCGGAGCTCAGTGTGTGTGTGCGTGGCTGTGGTGTGTGTTCGTCCCCCACAGAGCCATGAAACCCCATTTCGCTGTCCAGACTGTGGCTGTAGCGCCTCCAGGGACCTGCTCCACCCATGGAGGGGAAGTGGGGGTCCCGGTCCAGCTGGGTCAACGCAAACAGAGAGGAGAGGGGGTGTGCTCTAAAGGAATCCACACCTCCATTCACCTCCATTCATTCTCACACCCTCTACTCTCCCATACAGAGAAGTCATAAAGCAGTAAACCTCTCAAGTACAGATTTGTAACAAGTTCTTATTTGTATAAGAACTTGTTACACACTAAAAAGCACCACTATAGTGCTACACTGCTACCAACAAGACCCATAACTGGACACAAACAACTCATGAAATACCACATTCTCAAAGCTCATCTTCTTCCTCTAACAAGCACTCTTCTCATTGAGTCTGTTGTAAAGACACAACATACTGGACACAGTGGGCTGTTTAGGGATACTACTACAGTGCTCTGCTTAGTGTCCCGGCCAGATACATGACACCCAATTATACAGCGGAGAGAGAGAGACAGTAGTAGCAGTGTGTTGGGTTCCTCCAGTTGCCTCCAGTTGGCTGCGTCTCTGCTCGGTCTTAATGCCACAGTAATCCGTCCTCACCTTCCCCAGATAGACATTTCCTCACTGGAGTCTGTCCTCAACCTCATGGGGTCAATAGAACAAACAGGCCTGGTGGCAGATTAGCGTTGTACATTTATAGTGGTTAACCTACCTAACCTGGACAACAATGCACTGGCAACTACTGTGTCCTTGAATCAAATGGAAGATTATTTTTGTATCTTGGCCATCTTGGTTTCTTCTTAATATGGTTTGAGTATGACTGAGTCCCTTTTGAACTTTACTACTCGGCTAATGTGTCCCTGTATAGCTCACTACTGTCTGTAGCGTAACACTCCTGCATATTATATCCTCCCAGTCCCAGTATATTACATGAATAGGTAACAGTGTGCCAAGTCTTCAGACTGTGAGCGACCTCGAAAATAGAGTCCGTCAGTGATGAGCGATGTTGACCTCTTTGACCCATCCTAAGTTAGTTTTTCATTCCTGTGACAGAAAGCTACTGTTGGTGTTTAAAAAATATATATAATTAGGCTGGGATTGACACTGGATCATTCTAAAAACCAATTATAATCCCAGGAAATTAGGGGTCGAAAATTAACGCCTACAGACTTCGACACTGACGCCACACTGCACACCAGTTGCCGACAACACCAACAACTAGTAACTAACCTGAGACACTGAAGACAGAAATGTAGCTACTCCCCTCAGTAAGCCGTTTCTATGAGAAAAACATGACCTAAATTACACACACTCACATACTGTAACCTAACTGCATAGTGCACTACAGGAGGACGACATAGAGGATACTACTGTACTGCCTGGAGAGGAGATGCTCCACTTGCTCAAAATAGAGCCCAGCAACATACTGTCAAGCCTGAAATAGGGTCACCACTTCTATAAAGAGGAGATGGTGCTTTGCTGTCACACATTGAATGTATTCACCTTTATTATTTTCGATGCCTGTGTAATAAACAACTCAATTTATAATGTTTCTGGGAGAGCGCGTGACCCTGCATGCCCCTCCACTCAGTTTCACAGTCGTTATCCAATTATACAAATTAGGTAATTATGCTAATGTTTTGCTTACATGTCTCGATAGCACCAAACGCCAGAGACTGGATAAACAAAAAAGCTCTGAAGAAGTCTTGAAGTCAGCATCTCTCTTTGAAAACAGGAGTGTTGACTAAGGACCCCTGTTGCGAACCCCTGAGCCAGACACACACACACACACACACTCTTTGGAGGCACATGAACAGAGTTGAAAAGGGAAGAAGAGGCATGCTGTTTTAAGCAGGGAGCGCTGTAAACATTCAGGCTGTTTCTGTTCTGGAGCGAGCCAGTGACTAATCTGTATCAATAATGAATCAATAGAGTCACTGATCATGCGGAGGTAGGTAGTAACACACTGCTTGTGGCTCACTTATTCTACAAGGAGGGAGGAGGTGAAATGGAACAGACCTCCTGCTGTAATCAGGCACAGAGAAGACGCCTGGTTGAGATCAGAGATCCGAGTCACTGATGATGAAGGAGAAAGATTACAATGTAGCCTAGATGGTGATGAAACTGAATATGACCACTACAGGAGCTTCAACCATTTCAAAACCCATCTGTTACCTAGCAGCACTGTCGAATCTAGTTCCATCCCCCTCTCTCCCACTGTCACAGACCTAGTTTCATCCTCTAACCATGGTTTCTGCCATTCACGACAAGATCTTATTTTCTGAAGGGTTTGTCTCAGAGTATACATGGTGAGATGGTTTCCCCTATGGGCAGAGGTTAACTCCTCAGAGAGATTTGTGTGAATGAGAGTAAAAGGAACAGCAGGAGAACATCAAACCTGATTTGAAGCCTAGTAGAGATGATAAGGAGAGGAAGAAATAGCCTGACCGTAGCAGTGTTTTAAAGCCATGCCACCACAGTCAAACTAGACTGATGATAAATTAAATGTACAATTACACATAGCAGCATACCACCATATTGACTTTGTTAAGGAAGTGCAGAGAGAACGGGAGTGAGAGATGGAGAGAGAGAATGAGAGAGCGAGAGATAGAGAGAGAGAGTATTTGGAACTAAGGACTGATCACCCCAATCCACAAACGTGGAGACAAATTTGACCCCAATAACTACCGTGGGATATGCGTCAACAGCAACCTTGGGAAAATCATATGCATTATCATTAACTGCAGACTCGTACATTTCCTCAGTGAAAACAATGTACTGAGCAAATTTCAACAGACCACGTATTCACTCAGCACACCCTAATTGACAAACAAACAGACCAAAACAAAGGCAAAGTCCTCTCATGTTTTGTTGATTTCAAAAAAGCTTTTGACCCAATTTGGCATGAGGGTCTGCTATACAAATTGATGGAAAGTGGTGTTGGGGGAAAAACATACCACATTATAAAATCCATGTACACAAACAACAATGTAGCTTAAGCCCCACCCTCTTCAACATATATATTAACAAATTGGCGAGGGCACTACAACAGTCTGCAGCACCCAGCCCTCACCCTACTAGAATCTGAAGTCAAATGTCTACTGTTTGCTGATGATCTGGTGCTTCTGTCCCCAACCAAGAAGGGCCTACAGCAGCACCTAGATCTTCTGCACAGATTCTGTCAGACCTGGGCCCTGACAGTACATCTCAGTAAGAGAAAAATAATGGTGTTCCAAAAAAGGTCCAGTTGCCAGGACCACAAATACAAATTCCATCTAGACACCGTTGCCCTAGAGCACACAAAAAACTATACATACCTCGGCCTAAACATCAGCGCCACAGGTAACTTCCACAAAGCTGTGAACGATCTGAGAGACAAGGCACGAAGGGCCTTCTATGCCATCAAAAGGAACATAAAATTCGACATACCGATTAGGATCTGGCTAAAATACTTGAATCAGTTATAGAACCCATTGCCCTTTATGGTTGTGAGGTCTGGGGTCCACTCACCAACCAATAATTCACAAAATGGGGCAAACACCAAATTGAGACTGAATGCAGAATTCTGCAAAAATATGTTAAACACCAAATAATGCATGCAGAGCAGAATTAGGCCAATACCCGCTAATTATCAAAATCCAGAAAAGAGACGTTAAATTCTACAGCCACCTAAAAGGAAGCGATTCCCAAACCTTCCATAACAAAGCCATCACCTACAGAGAGATGAACCTGGAGAAGAGTCCCCTAAGCAAGCTGGTCCTGGGGCTCTGTTCGCAAACACAAACAGACCCCACACAGCCCCAGGACAGCAACACAATTAGACCCAACCAAATCATGAGAAGACAAAAAGATAATTACTTGGCACATTGGAAAGAATTAACAAAAAAACAGAGCAAACTAGAATGCTAATTGGCCCTAAACAGAGAGTACACAGTAGCAGAATGACCACTGTGACTGACCCAAATTTAAGGAAAGCTTTGCTTACAGTACCAGTCAAACGTTTGGACACACCTACTCACTCCAGGGTTTTTCTTTATTTTTACTATTTTCTACATTGGAGAATAATAGTGAAGACATCAAAACTATGAAATAACACATTTGGAATCATGTAGTAACCAAAAAAGTGTTAAACAAATCCAAATATATTTGCCTTGATGACAGCTTTGCACGCTTTTAACACTTATTTGGTTACTACATGATTCCATATGTGTTATTTCATAGTTTTGATGTCTTCACTATTATTCTACAATGTAGAAAATAGTAAAAATAAAGAAAAACCCTTGAATGAGTAGTTGCGTCCAAACTTTTGACTGGTACTGTATGTACAGACTCAGTGAGCATTGCCTTGCTATTGAGAAAGGCCGCCGTAGGCAGACCTGGCTCTCAAGAGTGTACACTGCACACAAAAAGAGGTGGAAACTGAGCAGCACTTCCTAACCTCCTGCCAAATGTATGACCATATTAGAGACACATATTTCCCTCAGATTACACAGATCCACAAAGAATTCGAAAACAAACCCAATTTTGATAAAATCCCATATCTATTGGGTGAAATACCACAGTGTGCCATCACAGCAGCAATATTTGTGACCTGTTGCCACAAGAAAAGGGTAACCAGTGAAGAACAAACACCATTGTAAATACAACCCATTTTTATGTTTATTTATTTTCCCTTTTGTAACTATTTGCACATAATATGACATTTGAAATGTCTTTATTCTTTTGGAACTTTTGTGAGCGTAATGTTTACTGTTAATTTGTATTGTTTATTTCACTTTTGTTTATTAACTACTTAACTTTCTTTGGCAATGTTAACATATGTTTCCCATGCCAATAAAGCCTTAAATGTGAATGAAATGAAGCTAGAAAGAGAAGCAGAGAATTAAGAGACCAGAAATTAGAAGAATGAGAGTGAAGAAAATGTACTGAGAGTGAGCGTAAGTATGAGATTGAGTATGTCTGGTTTAGAAAGAATAGGAAGAGAATAGTTCAGAAAGAGTAAAGAAGAAGAATGATAGAGAGAGAGAGAGAATGAAATAAAGAGGGACAGAGAAGTAAGAGAGGACAAAAGAATCCAAACTACTTTCAACTCATTTTAAACCTTTAGACGTAGATTGGAAGACACTGACCTGCTAACAGTGTTCTTTGTCAACATTGTGTTAGTTAGCATTGTGTCACTGCATTGGCATTTGCTTATGTCCTCTTGACATAACAATGCTATGACATAGGCCTATGCTATAAATGCTATAACAGTCACTGAATGTGTATAAGCGTCTCCTGAGTAATGAAAGTACAAAAGACAAAAGACACAGCAATATCACAGTAGCCTACATCCCTATTCACCCAGAGCATGCCATGTACGTCTACACCACACAGCATCCCCAAAATGGCCGTGGTTGGCATCTTTACCAGGTTCCAGACCCCCTGCAGCTAAAATCATCTTCTCCTGATTACAGCAAAAGTGTTGGGCTCATCAGTATGTGTACAGGGAATTAGGAGAGGTAGCTTCTGAACAATAGGGTTTCTACACAGAGACAGGAATAACTGAATTTGATACACTATAGCTCCACCTGAAACTATAATGGTTTGAACTGAAGTTCAACAGTGAATTCTACTAGATGAAAAGCCGATTCTCTTCCTCAACAGTGAATTCTACCAGATTAAAAGAACATTCTCTTCACACTACGTCATGCGTCTTTGTGAAGGTGGTTACTGGTTGACTATACACAGAGCAACAGGTCCTAGTCTGGGTTAGGTAGAGAGACCTAGCTAACTGGGCTCCCGAGTGGTGCAGCGGTCTGAGGCACTGCATCTCAGTGTCACTACAGACCCCCTGGTTCGATTCCAGGCTGTATTACAACCGGCTGTGATTGGGAGTCCCATAGGGCAGCGCACAATTGGCCCAGCGTCGTCTGGGTTTGGCCAGTGTAGGCCGTCATTGTAAATAATAATTTGTTCTTAGCTGACTTGCCTAGTTAAATAAAGGTTAAATAAAATAAAAAAAGGTATACCCATTTAGATAAAGCTATAGAAAGTGAAGTGAGGTCTATCTTGTTACGTCATCTTTTGAACGTGTTATTCAATGGATGAGCTGGGAGAGAGAGGCTTCACAGGTAACAAGAGGAAGGGATTTTCACAGGAGATAACACGTGCAGAGCCAACGATGACAGGAGCGATAGAGGATAGAATGTTTGCTTAAAGACAGAGGTTTTGTAAGCATCAATGTGTGTGTGTGTGTGTGTGTGTGTGGTGTGTGTGTGTGTGTGTGTGCGTGTGTGTGTGTGTGTGTGTGTGTGTGTGTGTGTGTGTGTGTGTGTGTGTGTGTGTGTGTGTGTGTGGTGTATTCTGACAGAGTGGTTCTGGTGACTGAGAGTGGCTCTGGTTTCTAAAGCTGTGAGATGTAAAGGCGTCTCCCTCTCTGCAGGTGTTCCACACACTGGGGCGAGGTCATGATACAGCCAGCCACACCTACAGTAGCACTCACAAGGCTGTCCTAACTTGCAGTACACTGGCTTTTTTCACACTTGCTGAACATGTTGCTGTGCATGATTCTTACCTCTGGGGCCAGACATTTAACTCTAATGAACTCTAGGTACACATATTGTTACACCCACCCAGCAATGAGAACTCTCTTTTTCCGCAATATAAATTAGTAGTCTGAACGAGCTTCTTAAATTAGCAAATGTATACATGGCATTTTTCAATACTGTCAACTGAACCACCAACCAATGCATTAGTCCACCACACTCCCACTCACAAAGCCTGTGCCTCTGGACTATGTGATTGATGTGAGTCATTAAGTCCTATCAGGAAGAGCGACTGTCCTCTTCAAACAGAGCCCATATGTCCTGGCCAATGGCAGGGCCTGGTCCAGGACGAATGGACCAATGGCAGGGCCTGGTCCAGGACAAATGAACCAATGGCGGTGCCTGGTCCAGGATGAATGGACCAACAATAGGTTTTGGCCAGGACGAATGGGCTCTGTCACTGGCCCTCCTCTCTCTTCTCCCACCGGTGATAGACGAATGGGTGATAGACAGAGGACATTTACAGTGGCTTGGTGGCCATGGCAACCCCGGTGATATAAGGCCCCATTAAAGTGACGGTACCTTGTTGAAATATTTACAGGTGGGCCACACTGGGGCCTCAGAGGGAGAGCCTGGCTATTTATAGTCTATCTGTCCCCTTCTCCAATGAGCAACACATATATTCACAATTGGAGGACCCCATCCATAGTCTTATCTAGGCGTCCATTATCCTGTAGCCGAGGGGACATTGACCCCTCTCTGGACTACAGTTAGTCGCTATGAGAAGCAGTTAGGCCTACTGCATTCAGACTAGGAACGCTCCTAACATTACAAATATAAACTTCTCTGAAACTCGTCTGTGTTGGCTTACATTAAAACGGAGTATCAATCAACACATCATTCTTCGAGGCAACTTACAATACATAACAGTCAGTCGTATTTCTGAAATGAAACATCAATATGAAGGGACTCAACAGGTGTGCCCATTAACAACCGAATACAACAGTGTAAAACCCATAAAGTTAGGACCTTATCAGATAGGACTGTGATTATGTGTTAAAGGCCAGCTGAAGGTTATAGGCTGAGGTGTGTAGGTTGGCTGAGGTTGGTGCTCAACACGTGAACACGTGCTGCGTTAAGTCAGTGTTCCCACCTCTGGGCTCAGTGGAGGAGGTTGATTAACATGTTCAAACACACCAGCTCACCTCCTCATTACCTGATAGGGAGGGAGGGAGGGAGGGAGGGAGGGAGGGAGGGAGGGAGGGAGGGTGAGGAGGCCCGGGGGGAAGGGAGAGACTGGTAAACAGGGAAAGGTCAACAAGCTGAGTGGAGTAGTGCCAAACACCCCAGAGGATCAACACATATTATGAAATACATACCCAGGCTGAGACACCCAGCGTTCTCTTGCCCACAGCATTGGGTACTGCACATAATGGCATAGCAACATGCTGCCTGCATTTAGAGTGGCTAAAACAATCCCTTGAGCCACTGTGTAATAATGACTGCCATGAGACTCTGAGACAGGGATACAGAGAGCTGCACAGCCTGCTACAGTGAGATAAGGCCAGTTAGAATGGTTCAATAATACTGAGACAGGTGAGCAGTAGACACAACACAGGAGACAACGGTACAAAAGACAGCCTTCAAGTGCAGGTTAGCTTGTCAGTGATCCAGGGAGTGAGTGAAGTGATTCTTGCAGGGTGTGTGTGTGTGTGTGTGTGTGTGTGTGTGTGTGTGTGTGTGTGTGTGTGTGTGTGTGTGTGTGTGTGTGTGTGTGTGTGTGTTGTGGGGTCCCCACAAGAATAGTAAATGAACAGAAATTTGACCAACTGGGGACATTTTGTTAGTCCCCACAAGGTCAAATGCTATTTCTAGGAGGTTTAGGGTTAAGGTAGAATTAGTGCTAGAATTAGGTTTCGGGTTAGGGTTAGGAGTTAGGGTTAAGATTAGGTTTTGGGGTTAAGGTTAGGGGTTATGAAAAATAGGATTTTGAATGGTTATATGGTTAGTTAAACAATACTGTGTGTGTGTGCGCGCGTGCACATTTTCAGTAGAACAGTACCATTGTAGCAGAACTTCCACATACTTTTCCACAGACGTTATCCCCATGTAGCTGTACAGAACAAAGCCCAGGAGTCAGGAGGGGAGTAGGTCGATCTCTGATGGCAACATGGATAAGCCCCTGACCTATTCCCAAAGGACAATGGGCTCTTTCTGAGATAGGAGTTTGTTTAGTGTGGGCACATCCATCTATATCTCTGCTGCTGCTTCCTCTGTAACTTGTTTGCATGCTGCCTCGCCAAAAGGAGATGAAAGGGTTGAGTGTTTGCATGAATGAGAGACAGCGGGGGGATAGAGGGATGACGAGGTGGAGGGATGGAGGGAGAAATTAATGGAGAAATGGAGGAAGAAGTTTCAAGTTTTATTAGTCTTATGTAAAGGATACACATTGTTTACACTACACTGTCCAATCAAATGCTTACTTGCAGGTTCCTTCTCAACAATGCAACAACAATAAGAAATAATAAAAGATAAGAATACGAAAATAAAGTAAATGGCTCAGTAGAATAGAATAAACATTTTAGCATAAGTATAATACAGGAAGGTACAATCTATATAACAATATTTACATGTGTTATGGGGGAAGGGGGGATTGGGGGGCATGTGTTTAAATTGTGCAGTATTAGCAATAGTAAATAAGAGTCTGGTAGCAGCAGAGATGCAGGGATGACTAGCATAGCATGGCTGTGATGTTGGTAGAGCCGTTATCAGAAGGGATGGATAGCGCTAGGCCTCGCCACGCTCTCATCATGTCATTAACCAGATCAGATCAGAGAAGGAGTTAAGAGGTTTGGACTCAACAAGGCACATTACTGCTGTTGCGCCTGTTTTGAACTGCCGTAGTGTTATGATATGAATCTTCCCTCTCCAGTCAGTCTCCCCATTAGACACCATGCTGTTCTATAGATGGAGAGTATGCTTTAGGTCGTTGGAGGTCATTTTAGGTCGTTGGACCTGCAATTTGTGATGTATCCTGAGACAAAAACAAGCTATGGTGTCTGTAACTTAGCTTAGTCAAAAGAGAAGCAAATTCAAGAAAAAAGTAAACACAGGTACAAGTAAACGTGACTGTAGTTACCTGAGAGAAGGAAACATCTACCTTTTAGGAATACGCCATGTCAAATAGGAGACAAACACACTAAAAAGCTTGACAGCTTCTTAATTATTCTCAATAAGTGGTAATCAACAGTAGACAATAAGAGGTACTTAACCGAAAGATCGCTGGTTCGAATCCCTGAGCCGTTAAGGTGGAAAAATCTGGCGTTCTGCCCTTGAGCAAAGCAGTTAACCCCCAACAACTGCTCCCCGGGTGCCGATGACATGGATGTCGATCAAGGCAGCCCCCCGCACCTCTCTGATTCAGAGGGGTTGGGTTAAATGCGGAAGACATATTTTGGTTGAATGCATTCAGTTGTGAAACTTACGAGGTATCCCCCTTTCCCTTTACTTAGTGGAGACTTTCAGTTCAATCAACAGTAGATAATAGAGTTACTTAGAGGAGACTTTCAGTTCAATCAACAGTAGATAATACAGGTACTTAGTGGAGAATTTCAGTTCAAAAGTTGCATAACAGTTGTATTAAGGTTCAGAGATATAGGCGACAGTCAGTCATCCCCAGTGGATTAGGTTAAGACTATGTTAACAACATGTTAATAACTCCAGCAAGTGGCCCTCTCTACACGGCTCCCTTGTTCTCACTGACCCCTCACTGGGGTCGCCAGACGGGGCTGGGAGGGTGGTAAGGGGGGTGTAATCCCAAACATGGGACAGTGCTAAGCCTGAGCCGGGCTGAGTCCATGGCCAGGGTGAGAAACTGGGAGAAAGGGAGACAGGTCGGTCAGTGGATCAGTGAGTTGTCACAGCCACAGCTGTTGGCATGGTGACTGTCCCAGACACCTGTTCCTTCCCTGTTCCAGTCACACGGTGGCCTAGTTTTACGCTACCTCATGCTGCCCTGCATGGCTGGTCAGTTTGTTCCCTGGCCTAGTCAGAGAGATGTTTTTCAAAACAAACGTAACTGAGCATGCCCTCTGTGCGTGTTGAAAAAGCAGCATATTCTGCAACGTTGACAACAGCCTGTCAGGTTAATCGGAATGACCTCAAACTCAAGGATCACTAGTTAGTGGCACTCTCAGCTGCTTGTGCATTCTGATTGACAACCACCCATGACGTAGAGAGAACACCAACTGTTCACTGACACACACATATCTTATGAAGTGTCGTATCATATGTTATAAATAGTCAATTGGAGTTGATGAGTACACGATTATATTTGTACCTCAGTGCCCTGGGTAAACAGTGTTACATGATACTCCGTCCTATCCTGTATGGAGTTATGTCTCCTATCTTCAACCGTATAATCCATAGGGTATAACTTTGTACTGTACGTGTGTATGTATATGTGTGTGTACTGTGATCTCATGCCATTCCCAGATAAACTAACCTGCGATGATAATTCACTAGTCTCACCATTACCAGGGCTCTACAGTGCGACCATTTTACTCGCATATGCGTATAAATATTTTGCTGTGCGACCTGGAATTTTTATTTAGGAGCACCAGTGAGCCTAGAAAAATTAAGGATTCTAGCTTTAATATCGCAAATAACTGTCATTGTGCTCCTAAATGTCTTTGTGTGCGCCTATATTTTTCAACATAGGCACACGCGTGCGCCTTGTAATACAAGTTCAGCATAGATCCCTGACTACACTCTGATCTTACATGACCGTCTGAGAATAGCTTGGGTTAGCCCTACAGGTCTCACTGTAGACCGAAGTGGTCAAACCAGACATTCCACTATGTGAAATTAAACCAGCTGGCCCTGTGTAATGCTCCATTGACATGCATGTCAGAGATTTAAAGGGACAACCCTCCACATTGCCTCCTCACCTGACCTGATCATACACATGTGGTAACTTAGCAGAAAAACTCCTTACTTTTCCAGTGCATTCACGTGTTACAAAGCCAATTTATTGCTATATAAAGTCTCAGTCCCCTGCTATGTTGACATGGTGCTATGAATTATTTGTTTACGTAGGGTATAGGCCCTATATCATAGCCCTCTCTCAATGCAAGGTGCCTCAGTTGGAGCGATGAGGCTTGTGGGATATGACCTCACTAGTCTGTGTGGTTAAAGATCACGAGGCAGAGCATCTTAAAGCTGTTCCATATGAAGGTGAGGTGTGTGTCAAGTGCAGTTGAGGCTGGTGGGAGGAGCTATAGGAGGACGGGCTCATTGGAATGGCTGGAATGGAATCAATGGAACAAAGTCAAACATGTGGTTTACGTGTGTTTGATACCGTTCCATTTATTCCATTCCAGCCATTATAATGAGCCCGCCCTCCTATAGCTCCTCCCACCAGCCTCCACTGGTCAAGAAGAGCTCGCTACCTTCTCTCTTTAGGTTGTGTGTGTGTGTGTAGGAACAGAGTGCCATTCTCATTGGGCTGGAAATCCACATGGAAAATGCATGCAGATGTAAACACAAGTACACAAACAGACGCTACATACTGTAAAATCCTAATTACAACAAGTTCACAATTCAGATTAGCCTAGTTATTCAGCACATACTGTACTTTTCATGACATCAACCCTCATATATACAGTAATCAGGACAACTGAGCCTGGTATCAACTCTTCCTACTATTATACAGAAACAACACTTGAGCGGGAAATCAGGTCAATTTAGTCAGTGTGCTGGAATTAAACACTGTCTGTAACATCCACTGAGAGTTCCCAGGAGTAAATGAAAGGACTTCGAAAAGCTTTGCCCTCTGTGTGTATTTTCTAGAGCCAATGCCAACCCAACTTCCACAGTGAGTGTGCTGACAGTTTGAAATCACCAAAGCATCATAAAAAAAATCCTGAAATTGTTCACTTCAAATACACTGCATATAGCAAACAGTTTTGACTTGTGTTCAAATCAATTTGCATCAACACTGATTTTCCTATAACAACTTTGATGTAAAACAATCCCTGTATAGGAATGGTCCACACCATTGAGGTATAAAGGATGGTCCACACCCAACCAGACTGTAAATAAAATATGGTCAACCATGAAACATTGATGGTGTCTGTTTGAATGTGATCCCATGAGGTAGTAACCCAATACCCTGACCTCTTCATCATGGAAAGATGATAAGAGTACCAGTCCTGTCCAAAAATCATTTAAAAAATACCCTCTTCATACTACCATGTTTTGTTTTCCAAGTATGCTGAAGTTGGAAGAGGTGTGTGTGTGTGTGTGTGTGTGTGTGTGTGTGTGTGTGTGTGTGTGTGTGTGTGTGTCACTTATCTGTTAACCTCTGCAGAATGAATAGCATATAGTAGGCTACAAATAATTATGTATACCGTTTCAGTAGATGCCAAATGTACTTTGTGTTCTTGGCTCTGACTAAGCACATTAGCCTGGGCCCCACAGCATTAACATGTGGATCACTTCAGCAATAAAGGTTTGCAAAATGTCACGTGAGGCACAATAAAGGTGAATGAAAGGTAAAAGATTGTGTCCAGGCAATTGCAAGAATCAAGCCGCATAGACAGATACTTTTCAACTTGTTCTGAGAAATGGCAAGTCCCCCAAATGTGCCCAGGACTCAGTTGACAAGTCACTCTGACATAAATGTTTTTAAAAAAGACAACCCCATGATAACAACCGAAATGTAAACGTGTCACATTATTCCTTGACTGTGTCAGAGTCCCTGTCACTTGACATGTCAAGCAGCAAAATACATGAACAATGTCTTGTCAAGTTATTTACTTTTCTAAAATCCGCAATTTACAAACAATACATTAGTTGAAGTGTATTTATGTGTAAGAAGACCAACTGAAATATCGTACCGTAGCTGAGTCTCAGAAGTGCAAATAGCCGACTTCGTGTAACAACACCGCACAGCTTCAAGATGCGGAGCGAAAGCAACCTTTTACCCTACTTTCCTATGAGCGTCTTTCCAACACCAAGTACATAACCCTCTTGAAAAGCACTAATTCTCCAGCAGAACGTTGTTCAATTTCCTTGGTTTAATGTCGCTTTCTATTAGAAAAGTAAAGGTATAAGCTGCTTAGCTAACAAGGTCACCAACCAGTCAGTTCGAGACTGCTTACTGTACGTACTGTATCCCTAGGTGAGCGTCGCGAGCGTGTTAAGCTTAGGCTCCTCCCTCTTTGTGTCCACCTCACAGTTTGTGAACGTGAGAGCAGTGAGAGAAGTCAATGCACTGTGAATGATTGCCCTTCACACAATTGTTTTCTATACAAAACAAGGATTTTAGCCCTGTATTTCAACACCTCTTTTTTATCCTACCTAGCCCATATTGTCAAAGGACTAGGCTATTCCATCCTAAACAATAATAATTGAATGGCAATGTAAAACCATATAAACAGAGACAACTATGTTCACCCAAGTCCTGTTAGGAGATCAACAACCATGACTGAACAGGCCTGTTAACAGTGTCATCTGTTTTAAGGAGCTCTATGCCAGCTGCCATTCTAGTCACAGGGGCCGAGTTGGAGCAGCACTGTGTATGTATGGCTATTTGCCATGTTATTTGTCTCTGGTGTAAACACGAGGTCATCCTGTGTTCTTGGTCGATGGCAGCCTAAGTAGCCTTCTCATAGCGGGTGAGGAATTGGCATTTTAGAATACGTTTATTTGCACATTGTGTATTGTGAAAAGTATATACACACATGTATAATTTCATTTTTTTTTCTATACATAAAAATACTGTCTATTCTAAACTTTATGGTTACCTGATACATTTGTAAACAACCAAACTCATTGTGTATTTATTATTACTTTTATTATGACGTGTTTTTTTCTTTTATATTATTTCTCTATTTTTTCTCTCTCTGCGTTGTTGGGAAGGGCCCGTAAGTAAGCATTTCACTATTAGTCTACACCAGTTGTTTACGAAGCACGTGACAAATACAATTTGATTTGAACTGTGGCAGGTGGTGGCCAGTAGAAATAAACAAGGTAGATGGGGACATCTAGTGCTTATCATTTGAATTGCATCTCCTGAGAAATTGCTTAGTTTACTATAAATCTTTCAAACAGTCTCAGTGGTATTTCTCTGTCTCTATGCTGTATAGAACATGTAACTGTGTGCCAATATTCAAATATCTGATGCAAAATACTAGCTCAGCCATTTGATACAGAGACAGTTTCCTAGATGCAATGGTAGGCTATACCGTAATAAATACATTATTAAATGTATGTGCTTTTTTGTCTATGCTTCACAATAGATATAAAAGTCAGTCTTTATGTTTTTACTCATGATCAAAGGTGTGATGAAGGCTTGTCCACTGGAGGTCGACTCTAGGCAGCCATGTCAGAACCAAACTATCATCGTCTAACAGTCACAGAGGCTGGTTGTGGTGAGTCATTCTTCTGTAAAGGAGTGGTCTTTACTGGCTAACTGTTCTTTGTTTAACAAGATGATATCGGTGGAACTACTATGCCCCAAGGAGACCAGGTGGGAGACTGTCTTGTCTTCACCTGAGTTAGGTGCGACTGTGCGAGTCACACGGGAGTGGTGCAACAGGGTGGGAGGAGGGGAGAGTTCATACAGTATGGACATCAGATTACCTTGAAGAGAAAAATATACATTTGTATATCTAATAATTACTTCTAGCTTGAATAACTACAACATTTGTTTTTACACAACTCAACACAGTTAGTAGTAGTTAGTAAATGAAAAGGAAGCCTACTACTTTACATATGCTAGCATATGTAAAGTAGTAGGCTGCCTTTTCATTTGTATGTGCTTCAACCGAAAAAACTGCTTCTGCCTCTCTGCAAGCAGTAACATGTAT